TACTTATTTTAAGCCTCTCTAGCCTTTATATTATATAAAGATATATTTTAGCTCTTACTTTTATAGAGCTTTAAGTATAGTAATATAACTTTAATTCTCTTAATTTTTATATTAACTTAATCTTTACTACTATTCTTAACTAACTATAAGCTAGGCTTATACTAAATATAAATATATACTATATTTCTGCCTTAGTAATATACTAGCTTATAGCTACTAAGCTTTAAGCTAAGAAGCTAGCTTTATTTTATTTATTTCTACTTTTATATTACTATTAAGTTAATATTAAGCTAGTAGTAAAGCACTATATAAATAAAGTTATTCTTTTTATTTAATATTTTAGTATAGTATCTTAAGCATTCTAAGAGAGAGAGATAATATTAATTCTTAGCGCTATAGCATTTCTTAGAGATAGAAGGCAGCTTGTATATATCAGCCGAAAAATAGAGGTGCATGCAATAGTGTGTAATTGCGCAGTAATATAAAGTCAATTTGCGTCTCTAATTGCAGGAGCGCGTTCTACTTTTGCGTAGTGCAGTTAACCTTGCGATTTTCCGCCAACAGTTATAAGCCCAGTTGCCGCAGGCCCTGTGCCGCTGCTACAGTCGCATGTTCGAACCCTATTACAATTACAACTTTACAAGAGTCTTAGTATAACAACAACTATAACAACAACTATTTACTACAACTATTAACTTATAGGCGACAAAAAATTTCCTACCTAATAACAGTACAGCAAAGCTCTAGCGCACTTATACAGCTTACAGCGCTGAGAGGGCTGAAAGCTAGGGGGGTGTGTCAGCCGAAAAATAGAAGTGCATGCAATAGTGTGTAATTGCGCATTAATATAAAGTTAATTTGCGTCTCTAATTGCAGGAGCGCGTTCTACTTTTGCGTAGTGTAGTTAACCTTTTGATTTTCTGCTAATAGTATATAGTAGAATACTAGCTAGTTATTAGGCTAAAGGTATTACGTTCTTAGTTTTATTCTAGCTCTTTAATAGACAGCCTCTCTTTTAAGTAGACTATTCTCTACTTAACTTTAAGTTAAAGTTAATTATAATCTACTAGTAGTAGTAGTTAAGATATTAATAGTTTATAAACTTTATTAAGTATTTTAAGTATTTCTTTTTAGCTTTATTTTAGTACTTCTTTAGAATAAAGTAAGCTTAGTTCTAAGCTAAGTATACTTTATTATATAAAATATACTTTTCTTTAATATTACTAGTAATTATAAAATATAATTATTCTCTATTTATATAGTACTTAGTAGTATACTAGCTATACTTTAGTATTACTTTATAGTATTTAGCTATATACTTTATACTATAGTAGTTAAAGTACTACTTTAAGTAGAGAGCTTTATTATATAGTTTAGTATTAAATATTTTAGCTTAAAAAACTAAGTCTTTTTAGTATAACTTATTAGTATTTTCTAGTTCTTTTATATTTAATATTAAAAGTACTTTTATAGTAGACTTATTATAAAGTTACTATAAAGTAGCTTATATAACTTTTACTTTATTTATCTTTACTATTTCTTTAATAAAGCTTTTAACTTTTATATATTTAGTAGAGAACTCTTTAATAATTATACTAAGTACTTATTAATATATAGTTATATTTAAGCTAAAAGTAGCTTAAATTTAGCTAGTTTTCTCTTAGTATTATTTTACTTTATCTTAGAAAGTTACTATAGTATTACTACTTAGTAAGTACTTTATAGTAATAGTAGTATTATAGCTAATAGCTTAGTTTATAGTTAATACTATATTAATAGTAGTTTAACTTTTATATACTTTTATAATAGTATTACTTTTTATAAGTACTTTGTAATATTATTATATTAAAATAAAAAGAAAGAGAGAAGCTAAAGCTTAAGCTAAATATACTTTAGCTATAATACTTACTTATAATTATAGTTTTTTAGTTATTTTTAAAGCTTTTTTTACTACTATTATTATAGCTTTTTATAATTATCTTTAAGTTATAAAAGTACTATTATAGTTAATTATAACTTTAGCTATAGCTTAGTATACCTCTACTTTAGTATATACTTAAAGTATTACTTAAACTCTCTTAAAAGTATTACTCTTTAAAATATAGCTTATAAGTTTATTATATACTTTCTTTTAAGTATTATTAAGTTAGTCTTAAGTTATAAGTAGCTTATTACTACTTAATTCTTACTTATTAAATTATTCTCTTTTTATATTTAAGTAGTAGTAACTTTAAGTAAGCTCTTTATTACTACTATTAATTACTATTAGTATTTTCTCTACTGCTTTACCTCTAGTATAGCTGCTATATAGTATTATAAGTAGAGGCAATTAAGTATAAGAAAGAAAGTCTTTATATTAGTTTATATTTTAGAAGCAGTCTTAAGCTAGCGTAGTAGTGCTATAAACTAAAGGCCGAAAAGTCTAACTTTAAATATAGTATAAAATTATATATAATAGTATATATTAAAGAGTAATTATATATAATAGTATATATTAAAGAGTATAGTTATAGAGGCTTAGACTTATAATATAGTTAAAATAGTAGTTAATAAATACTATAAATAATATATAAATATAATTAATAAGTAAATAAGTTATAAAGTAAGTAGTAATATTAAAGTTACTATAAATTTAATAAATAACTTTTTAAAAGCTTAAGTAGTACTTTTAAGTAGAATAATTAATAGCTTAAGTAGTAAAATAATTATAACTTATAAATATATATATATTTATTAAAAATACTAGAAATTATATTTTTAAGTAATTTAAGTACTATTAATACTTACTTAAGTTTATATTATTAAAAATTAAATAAATTTAGCTTAAATCTTTAAATTATAACTTTTTCTATATAAATATATATAAAAATATATAGAAAGTATAACTACTTAGCTACTTATTTAAATTAAGTCTAGTACTGCTAAATTAAGTCTAGTATAATATAAATAGTAATTTTCTACTGTATAAATAGCAGAGCTCTATTATACTAAGTATATAACTAGTACATATAGTACTAACTACTTGCAGTAGCTAAGAGGGACGTTCTAATACCTGCTCCGTGCTGAGTCTCTGATTTACCTGCCTTACAGGGAACTAGCAGCGCGCTACAATTTAACAAGGCTCTTGGGGAGCACTAGAGACAGGGGATGTTTATTTTAAGTTCTAGAGTAAGTATAGAGCGACTAGCCTATAATACTAAGTACTACCTACTTAAGTAACTTACTTACTTTACTTTATAGTTGCTAACTTAAGTAAGTACTTAAGTAAGTAGATAAGCTCTGCTATTTATATAGTACTAAGCTTAATTTAATTATACTTTAATTTAGTTATACTTTTAAGCTACTATACTTTACTATATAAATTTATATATATTAGCTTAATAATATAAGTATTATTATAAAAATACTTTAACTATTAATTACTATTAGTATTTTCTCTACTGCTTTACCTCTAGTATAGCTGCTATATAGTATTATAAGTAGAGGCAATTAAGTATAAGAAAGAAAGTCTTTATATTAGTTTATATTTTAGAAGCAGTCTTAAGCTAGCGTAGTAGTGCTATAAACTAAAGGCCGAAAAGTCTAACTTTAAATATAGTATAAAATTATATATAATAGTATATATTAAAGAGTAATTATATATAATAGTATATATTAAAGAGTATAGTTATAGAGGCTTAGACTTATAATATAGTTAAAATAGTAGTTAATAAATACTATAAATAATATATAAATATAATTAATAAGTAAATAAGTTATAAAGTAAGTAGTAATATTAAAATTACTATAAATTTAATAAATAACTTTTTAAAAGCTTAAGTAGTACTTTTAAGTAGAATAATTAATAGCTTAAGTAGTAAAATAATTATAACTTATAAATATATATATATTTATTAAAAATACTGGAAATTATATTTTTAAGTAATTTAAGTATTATTAATACTTACTTAAGCTTATATTATTAAAATTTAATTATATTTAGCTTAAATTTTTAAATTATAGCTTTTTCTATATAAATATATATAAAAATATATAGAGAGTATAGCTACCTAGCTACTTATCTAAATTAAGTCTAGTACTACTTAATTAAGTCTAGTACTGCATAAATAGTAATTTTCTACTATATAAATAGCAGAGCCTATTTTAAGCTACTATTTATACTTAATTCAGCAGCTCTACTATAAAATTTACCTATAAATAACTCTCCTTCTCTCTAACTAGATAGAGAGGAAATTAAGCCTTTATTACTACACTCTTTAATATATACTATTATATATAATTTTATACTATACTATAAGTCCCTTCTATTATACCTTAAGAATCTCTATTATCTTATGCTTAGTAATTAACTAAATTACATAAGCTATATCTATTATATTAGAAAGAGTCCCTTAATTAGCTAACATTATATTATATTATAACTAGCCTGTCTTAGTGCTTAGCTCGTCTTAGTGTTCAGCACTACCTTTAGGTAGTGAGGGCAACTAACTACTTAAAATAAGTACTCTGTAGAGCGGGCACAATTAGTCCCCGTCTAGTCTGATATGCCCTTACTCTTCCTTAGCTTAGAGTGATAAGGTATTCAAGATGCAATACTCCGCTTTAGGTTGCAAGGTCCTTGGGGGGGGAGGCTGAGAAGGCCCTCGGAGCCGCGGCACGACAAGCTCAAGTTGTCGGCTCATCTCGTGGAAGAGGAGCACAGGGAACAAGTTCATCTCGCAACAAGCCGGCTTACACCAAAACGTCTGCCCGACCACAGGCTTGGTTTAAATAGGAAAAATGCCGAAACGCGCAGCAAAGTCTGTCATGCCACCACGCCGTGGCGGTACATTTCAACCAACGATCGACGCAACGCCTACCGAAGAAGTCACAGGATAGCCAAAATCTCGCTCCCTCGCGAGCCTGGTGGATCAAGAAAACAAACGGTTGGGGGGAGGGGGGTCTGGTAATGCCAGAACAGCAGCCACATTGTTCAACAGTCGACCCCCGCACGTCGCGGCTCAAAACTGACTCTGAATCTTCAAGGGCACATGGACCAGGCGATCGCCCATGGCCGTCGGGCTCGGCAGCCGCCCCGCGCGGATATTGATCTGCAAGGCGTAATGGATCAGGCGCGGCTCCTTGAGGGTGGCGTCCCTCTCGGCGCGCCAGGCCACAAAGTCGTCCCGCGAGGTGCCGTCCCTGAGGTGCTTGTTCTGTTCCCGCTGCTGGCCGACCGTCGTGGCCGAGACGGCGCGGCCGGCCCTCGCCTCGGGCGGGTAGTCGTGTCCCGTCCATATCTTGACGTGCGGCGCGTGGCTCAAGAGTCTCTGGACCGAGTCGTAGAGCTGCGTCGCGGAGCCGCCGGGGAAGTCGCAGCGCGCGGAGCCGACGTCGGCGTTGAAGAGGGAGTCGCCGCAGAAGATGTCGTCTTTGGTGTTGTTTTGATTTGTTCCTGTGAGCTGGGCTGGGCGTGTGAATGCGTCAATCGCGCGACGTACCTTGGATCTTGTAGCCAACGTGGTCCGGCGTGTGGCCGGGGAGGTGCAGCACCGTGGCGGTGAGATTGCCAATCTTGAACTCGGCGTCGTCGTCCAGGAGCCTGTCAAAGGCCTTGGCGTATTCGGCGCTCTTGATGCCGTATCTGTCGCCGAACCGCTTCTGCACCTCGACTATGCGCTTGCCGATGCCAATGTCCGGCCGGGTGCCTTGGCTCTTTTCGAGCCGGTCCTGCAGGTACGCCGCCGCCGTGAGGTGGTCTGCGTGGGCGTGCGTCTCCAGTATCAGCTCTACCTGGTAGCCCTTGCTCCGGATCAGGGCGAGCAGCTTGTCTGCGCTCTGGGTGGTGATGGTGGCCGAGGCAGGCTCAAAGTCCAGCACCGAATCGATAACGGCGGCGCTCATGGTCGACGGGTCTGCGACGACATATTGCCAGGTGCCCGTGTCTGGCTCGTGAATATCGTGGATCGCAATCATCTGGCTCATTTTCATTTTGGCTGCTACTGATTGCGGGACATGCCTTGTGCCGAGTTGCTTTCGGTGGTGCGCGGGACGAGCGCAGCTCGGTGACGATGGGTGGTGGTGGTGTCGCGCCGAGTCCATGATAATGTAGGTCCGCGGGACATGTCTCATGATTTATCCTCCCGTCTCTATACGCCCGACTTGTAGACATGTTTCGGTAGAATGCGTCAAGGTTCAACACCATCGGTCGCCGAGGCGTCCTCCTGATCGGCGATTACACAGAGCAGAGGGCCCGGGAACGCCACTTGCACGCGGTTCAACCACCCAACGGCTGTGGTGGAGTCGGATGAGGACCGATCTAGACGTGAAGCCACATGCAGGTTCGTGCTGAAGCAGGACTGTGATTACGCGAGTCCCCGGAGGGGGGGAGGACGCGGCACAGGTTTGTTAACCATAACCCTAGTTCACACCATGTTAGTCACGGCTGCCGCCTCTGCGCATAATAACCTCACCTTCTCAAGCCATTTCTGTTGCCGACCCTCTGTCGCATAAGCTTATTGGCTTATGCTCACTTGTGCCTCGCCCGCAACGGTAACTGTCTTGGTCCCGAATGCCCTCCCCGGCGGGCAGTTCTCCTGCCAACCGCCCACTCCGCGTCTCCTCTCCGTCTCTATCCGTTTGTGCTCATCGTCTCATGCCGTACAGGGGCTTTCCGTTACTTCAAAGATTGTAGCTACTCCGATCCAACAGTCCGACCTCTTTGTTGCCACCATCGGCCAGCTGCCTGGCCATCCGAAGCACCATGTTTCGCATGACAAAGTCGAATTCGTCCGGGCGCCGTGCTTCTGCCCCGGCACAGTATGCGCCGCCGAGCCGGTACATGATGGTCGGTGATGCCGCAAACAAGGCTCGTTGGCAGACTGTCGAATCGCCCCTCTTCTCCATTTTGTACGAGCACAACATCAAGGCTGCTGAAAGCGATCCCTCGGGCGAGAATAGCTCGACCCCGACGCTGCCGTAGCCCCCCCCCCCCCCCGGCAAAGTTCGGAGTGTCGTGCTTGACCGTAGATTAGATTCTTGCTAGATACTAGGTATGTTGGTAGAGACACTCGGGCCACTGCACCGGGGGGGCATATTGGCATGAGTTCAACAAGCTGGACTCGATTTCTCTTGTTCAATTGATACTGTATTGGCTTCGCCGAGGCCCACCAATCCAAGATCGTCAGAGTGAGAGTCGGATAATGTTGAGCTCTGGAGCGCCATTACCTAGCTGACTCTACGCAGCATCACAAGTAGTCCTTTACCGCATTGTAGAATGCATCTGCGTCCTCAAACATGGGGAGATGCCCTGTCAGTGGCACAATCCTCAATTCTGCGCCGCCGTCGCCCAACAGCCCCTTGAATCCGTCCATGGCCTTGACAACCGCACCTTTTGCGTCAGCCTCCCCTGCCAGAAACAGTCCGGGAACACGGCAGCCCTTCATGTCTGGTTTGATATCGTAGTCCCACAGTGCCGTGCAGCTGTTTGCAAACCCTTCAACGTCATTCTCTGCCACCATGTCGGTCATTTGCTGCGCGAGATGCCCCTTCTCCATGGTCATGGGGTGAAACCATCGCTCCACGGTTTGAACCGCAAGTTTCTTGATGCCCTGTCCGGAGTCTGCTCTTGCTATGGCGACGCGATCCTTCCATGCTTGCGTGTTGGCTGGGCTGGACGTGGCGTTGAAGTCGCAGGCGATGAACTTGCCAAGGCGAGCGGGGGACTTGATTGCAAAATTAAGAGTGGTTGCGCCGCCCAGCGACACGCCGACGAGGGTGTCTAGTCTTGCAATTCGTAGGGAATCCAGAATGGAGTTGAGGTCATCCGTGAGGGTGTCGAGTGTTGCGGCAACGGGTGGTTGTGGGATGGCGCATCTTCCGCGGGTGTCGTAGCGGAGGATACGAAGACCCGGCCGATTCTTCTTGAGAACAGCGACAAAAGAATCCCACATGTGGAGTGACGTGAGAAGGGAGTTGGAGAAGGCGACGGTCGGGGCGGTGGGCGAGGGGTTGCCCTCGAGACGGTACCGAATGTTCAGAGAGTCCTTGGTGGTGACGTATGACGATATGACGGCACTGGAACCAGGTCGCGTGGTGGTGTCCCCGCCAGTCGACGTAAACGCTGCGGATGCAGACAGCTCTGATAGTGAGGCAAGATCTGTGGCGGCCGGCCCAAACACACGGAACAGAGACCAAGTTTGCCGTTTCTTTGATGCAACGTATTTGCCAAACACTTCTGTGCGCCATGGCGTGTCCATGGAGGCTGCGTGTGCCGCACCTCCCAAGCCATTCTGCTTTTCGTAGTCGAATAAACAGAGATATACCGCCTTTCCGGCATCTCCCAGACTCGATGTCCTGAACAAACGCGATCGCAGCCAGCCAGGTACTTTTGCAATCAACTCGGCGTGCTCTTGGACAAACCACTGCTGGTACTGGTCTCCTGCTCCATCGGCCTCGGACACGTTTATTTCCACCGCCACAGCAACTAGACCCTCTGCCTCCTCGTCTGTCAAATGCTCAATGGGTGTGAAGTGAGACGACTGCTTGGTGTAGAGCAGATCAAAAAAGTAGCGGTTGACATCAACCTGGCCAATAATGTTGGCTTCGCGGTTGGAGCGGTTCGCTCTCAGGGCGGTGTAAGTTTCCGTTTCGAGGTGCTTCATCGCCGTGACATGGTAGACTGCCATGAAAGCGGGCTGCTCATGGGAAGTGGCTTTGTAGCGGAAGCCATTCGAGAATATTTGGGGAAGCCTCAGACGAGTTGGTCCGTGTTCATTATTGTACCATTCGTGAAATTGGCTCAGTGAGAGACCCGGCTTGGGAGTCATGGTCACGAGCAAGATACCAGGGGAAGACATTATGACAGCGTGATGGGGCTCAGGATTGATGGATAAGTTTGAGTATCGTATGAATTGGGCTGAAAGTTGGAGTGGTCGATGGTATTGGCCGTTTTGATGTTGTTGGACATGGGCGACTCGAGTTCGCCATCCACACGGCCATGGCCCATCACGGCCGGCCAGTGGCAGTGGATCCGATGGATCGGGGACTTGATCGGGTCGGCTACTATTGTCGGGTTTGTCGCCATTGCTTGTAGTAGTAGCTGAGGTGTGGAGGGGTGAGCGGTTGGCGGAGCCTCGAGGCGGATTGAGGCTCGAGGGCAAGCAAAAATTGACCCCACGCGAGTCGTCACGTGTGGACAACAAACATATGAGGGGTACGTATCTGTCACGACTTCTTCGAAGCAAACTTGAAGCCGCAAGACACGACGCATTGCTATACACCAACACTAGTCTGTTGTCTGGATCAAACGGGTGCGAAGTCTCGTTTTCTTCTGCGCAGGAATATTAATCCTGGATGACCGGCAATTTCCACCCCAAAAACACACTCCATGACGTGCCAAGAGGTCCGGGCTCTTGGGCTTGTCCAGCACCTCACCACGGAAAGCGCATATGATTCCAGACGAGCACCAAGAGCCGCCGGCTCACGGCAAACACGTGTTCCAATGCTCGTCTCTGTGTTTCTCGTTTGTCTGGCTCCTGCTTGGCAAGATTTAGGCTCCGACTGCTTGAGAACAACTGACTTTTTTGTGCGCGGCTTCTACTCATGCCCGGGCGGTTCATGCCACACCACGATCTGTTCTCTAAACAGGCAGCATGCATCCTGCCGGGCGGGCAAGGCTGCAAGATTAACCAACTGCCCGATTCCAGATGCCGTCGAAAGTACACTCCCTGCTTTTGCTTTCGATTCCCGTAGACTTTCTGGGTGGAAAGTTTCAAGAGACTTTGGCCTGTCCACTGCTGCCCGATGGTTTGCAACCTAGCAGTCGCGTTGTTGAATTGCTCGGCCGAGGCCAGCCTGGTACAAATCTGTCAATGTCAAAAGCTCTGAGCGGACGAGTGCCAAAATCTGTATTTGCCGTGCTGTTACGGAGTACAGTAATGGGCGACAGATGGCAAAGTCCGGGGGGTGAGACGAACCTTGAGTCTGACGTTGATATCGACTTTTCGTCTGTACCACTTGTTGGCTCTGCCAAAGTTGGCCTTTGCAATCATTTCATCGTCAAATTCCCGCTGTATATATTACATGTACGATCGACTCACCAGGACAAAACCTCGATCCAAGAGAAAAGAGCCCCGGCTCAGGTTGCAAGGAACTGTGCCGACTCAACAAAAGGGCAGGTCCAGAGGCGATGAAATCGTCGCATGAATTAGCTCATCATGTCACAGAATGCCACAGTGAAAACCGCTTCAACATCCACTGCAATAATTTGTTAGCCCGCCGCAGAAAGAGATTTGTGAGCTCTCGCCACCATGGTGGGTGTGCTTACCCTTCATTCCACGGATAGCTTCCAGCACGTTTGCAAATCCATCTAGAGCTGCGATGATGTCCTGCAGAGAATGGCGGAGTTCGTCCACTCGACGTTCAAAGTTTGTCGTCATGATACCTCCAACCTCTTGTTGATGCCTCAAATAGAGTCGATAGAACTGCATCATCATCACGTAGCTGGCATGCATTGCACAGCATAAAATAGTTGGGGTCATTCGAGCCGGAATGGTAGTAAGCGTCTTGTCAGGATATGGTAGCTTCTTCAGCTGCCGAGATACCTCTAATGCCGATTCTACGCAAACCTCCGCAGCTTCATCGAATGTGAAAGGCGATGACTCAAGCGGGTTAGGCCGTGGAATGGCATTGTCAGTGTCGGGAACAAAGTCCGGCGAACTCAAGTCACAATGGTCCATGCTGAATAGAGGAATATCCGAGAATGCATGGTATCTATGCAGTCGAATTCTAGCACTGCGGCAAATGTGTTGTCAGCATAGGCTGAAGCCACGGCGGTCATGTCAGGTTGGCTTATTTCGGCCTTGTGGCAGTCGTACCTGGAACTTCTAATGGCTGCAATACTGCGCATCGTTTTGGCAACAAGCTGCTCGCTCGATGGATCTCCGTCAATGGGTGGCGCCTTGGATCGCAGACCACTCTTGGCGTGTCCAATCAATTGTACGGCCTGGGCGTCTAATGCTGCTATTTTCTCAGACTTGGATCGCAGTAAGTCTGGGTCGGGCTTTGCGGATGGAGGTTCTCTGGCTGCTGCAAGCCGGACCGTCGCGAAAGATACACGAAGAGACTCGACGTACAACGGCCATACCTGTGAGGCTATGCTTAGTAACTACTCATGTGCCGCGATGTTGCAGTCAAGGTTCACCTCGGGATCCCCTTGTATGGTGGGATATGGAGTGGTAAAATGAGTATCATCCTCCATAATAATGGATGCCTACGTGAGTGGTCATATTAGCAATTCGGGAATCGACTAGCTCGAAATAGTGGAGGACTGGAGAGCCGCGACTTACACTCTGACGAACAACGGAGCACAATTGAGCCCGAAAGTACTGTGTCATGTCAGTCAAAACACTTGCGATGAGTACTTGGATGTGAAACATACACTCATCCACCAGGCTCTCCTTTTGGCTTCAGCAAACTCGTCGTCATAATCATTTAGTCGATGGAGAGACATATTTTTCGCCATAATCAAGGCCTGGCTTGCTCTCGTGGTCATTTTGAGCATATTTCCTCTCTGCGTATGCTCATAATTGCTTAACAGTAGTAGCGCAAGCACGGCTTCAAGCGTCACTGGAGTTCTGGGATGTACCGGAAAGCGAGGAATCGGTTGACCCTTGAAAGGAATCGGACTTGGATCACCACCGGGATTGTCGTCAATTAGTTCAGAGTCTGCCTCCGCACAGGCCAAAGCCATTTGAGCCAGCTTGTGGGCTACTAATCTTCTGGGAGGCTCCTCGGATGCAACGACTGGTGTAGGAGCCTGGTCGGGAAACGGGATCAGAGCCAGCATGGCTGATATGGCCAGGCACAATGGCGAAGACAAAGTCATGGGAAAGCATCCTTCAAGGCCCGTGGTCCGTATCGGGTTGTCAGGGGTAACAGGCTGCACCGGAGGCGGAAGTATTGGGAAGTATTGATGGAGGTAGATGTAGTAGGCATTCAATCTGTTTCGGCGTCAACAAGGTTCTCCATCGTCTCTCCGTGGAAACAGACAGCCAACCCGACAGTCAGTCAACATACATAGCGTGCTCACTGTCATATATCCGAACAGCGTGTTGTCCGACGTCATCCGCTCCTGCGTCACGGGTCCCAAGATTGCCATCACCATTAGATAGATTGTTAATCTCATCAAAGGAGAGCAATCTTAGCCCAGCGCCGGGCGAGGTGAGGTGGTCAATCTCAGTCAGAGGGGGGGAAGGGAAAGCTGCAATTTTGGATCAGACACTGAAGCCTCGAGGGGAAATGGGCATCTCATCGTGTCTAACACTTACCAAAATCAGGTTGTTCATCGCCGGTTGGTTTCACAGCCACACTTCTCTTCTTTCGTGACCCTCCGCGGCGACTTGGCGTGTATGAACATTCCCGGTTTCGCATTTGGCACTGGAACGCCTGCAAGTTAGTTTGTCGAACAAGACGGAAAGCTGACGAGTCGCCATGGTAGATTTCACACACCCCGTGGCACGGTTGGTCCCCGTCGCAGCGAATTCTTGATACACGGCTGTCAAGTATTGTCAGCGTCTGAGTCTTCAATGTGACAAGTTACAACTCACCAGGCCAGACACGCCAGTTTGACAGGCCCGCGACCCGGCTTCCGCTCAGGCTGTCCCGGCTTTGGCATCACGAAGCCGTTGGGGTATCCTCCTGGAACAGTTCAGATGAGCACCGACGGCGGTTTTGCAGGAGTGGCCAATTCGTCGAATGAGTTGTCAGACATTAGAAACGGTTGGTCATGATGTCAAGTTCAAAGCCCGCGGCGTTTATTGACCGAGGCCAGACTGGCCATAATTGTGGGCCGCGAGTTGCCCCAATCGTACACTGTCGGTCGCGCCTTCCCGGGGTTCGGGGTCTTTGGGCCGCACCTGGGTTCAAATGCCGAAGCATTCCGACGCAATGCGATATCGTAGACGCAGTTAAATTCGCCCGACGTTTGGTTTACATCCTAGAAACGTAAAAAACTAAAGAACTATTTGCCATGTCGGTATTCTGTTGATGAACTTGATTTCATCCTGCACGAGTCTTCAAGTCCCCGAAAATAATCATAAAATTGCCACACCGTCATTGGCGAATACGTACATCAAACCCGATGTCCCAACTAGAAACATGACATCTCCCAAGTAAGCTGTTCCTCGTAGTAGGCTGAAAAAGAGCGATGACCATGATTCTCAAGATTTCCAGGTCTCATCTCGGGTTTTTGCACTTCTTTTTTCCCGGTGTTCTGGGAAACAAAGACAGATTTCGACTACGGGCTCACGCTGCAGACAAGCAATGCCAGATGGTCACGACGATGAATGTATGCACAATGAGGTCGCGGACCAAGCAAGCTAGTTGCATTTCCCTATGGCTATGTGGTGGCCGAACCAGCCCCGGGTATTTTTGCATTCCCAGGACTTCCCCTTGGCACTCCGGCGCGTCTCGTCCGTCTCATCTTGAACAGGACGACGGCAACATAGGCAGCGGCAACGACGGCCACTAAAACGCAATATGTAACGACAAAGGTGTAGTCATTGCCGGCGAGCTGGAGGCCAAGGCCGCCGTCAATCACTCCCAGAATGATGAGCAGGCGGCCGTACCAGATGTGGAAGTGACTGACGATGCCGCGCTGCTTACTCTTGAGATAGTGCCGGTGGTGGAGGTAGCCCAGCAGAGGCTGTAGGCTGACGAGGCAGGCCAAGATGATGCCAAGTTGCGAGTGGCATTGCTTGAAGAACTGACACGGGGAGGGTTAGCTCCGGTGTGTGCACACTGCAGAGAGAGGGTCGAGCATGGGCTCTTGGACACGACATACCAGGTCAGTCCGGCGGCTGAGAACGTATCCGACTCCAACACCGGCCCACATGGCCATGAAGGTGACGAGCTGCCAGCCTGCGTGCATGGCCCATCTGCCCAGGAGCGGCATCAGCATCGCGCCGATGGGATATCCCAGCACGAAGACGGCGGACATAATGATGCCGTGGGCGTAGAGGAGCGTCCGGACGGGATCCCCCTGCACGACAGCAACACCGTGGCCATCACCACCAGGGGCGGATGTGGCATTTCCGCCGTTTCCATCGCCGCTCGCGAATGGATTCTGATCCGACGGAATGGTTGCCTTGGAAAAGTCCACGGAGAACACGGCATTCCCGTCGTGATAGTCAATCTGCGCGTCGGGCTTGGTCGAGGCCAGCCCGGTTCCCTGCTTCCACGCGCTCAACCAGGCATTCGACGACCCCAACGTCAACCTGGAGCAGCTATTGCACTTGACATTGGCAACCATCTGGCCATCCATCTCGCCCGAGCCAGCGAGCAGCTCAACGCCAGCCTTCGGGCTGTACAGGGGCATGACGTGGCCCAGGCCGCGTCTTGTACTGAGCGTCACGTTGCCAGCGCCGTCGGTATACATGACAAACATGTCGGCGCCGTTCATGCGGCTGCCGATGCCCAGGCCGACCCATTCGTAGGACGTCGGCGCGCGCATCTGCAAGTAGACGCTGCCGGAGCCAGACGAGGCAGCGGCTTCGGGGACGGCCCATTGGAAACATATCTGGCCAGGGACGGGACATTGGGATGCCGTCGCGGCGTCGACCGGAGCGGCTTCTTTTCCTCAGTATTGGCATGCTGGACGGGTGCCCGCGGGGAGAAGGGGAGAGACAAAACTTACGCAGTGAGAAGAGTCCCGCGATGAGTCCTGCGGCAAGGACGGCCTCTCTCGTGAGGACACTGGCGATTGCTCTCATCATGTTGCGCTCTCTCAAAACCACTTTTTCCTGCGAGCGCGTTTCTGGCAAAACAGATGACGGGACTCACCACGGTGGTTTGCGCCGTCGATGAAAATGAACGTCAGGGGTAGATGGAGAGTGCCTGGGCGCGTCGATGACCCCGTCCACAACACGGGGAAACACCATTTTATCGCGCGCAGCCACCCGAATCTGAATGTTATTCCTCAATCGGCTACCCGTGTGCCAATAGGCTTGTTTCCGGGGCGGCAATTAGCGTCTGGTTGGCGCTCGCCGCCGCGACGGCTCTGCATTGTGTCTGCCGGCCACGAGGGCCATTGCCTCCCATCACCATCCAGATACGGCAGTCCATTGATCCGACGAACAGGCCGTGTTCATCCGTGACCGGAACAGTTTGTTCCCGGGATGGTATTCCTGGTCGGCATGGCGCAACCAACATGCGGCCATGACGACTCCCGAGCCTCGCAAATCAGCCACAGGAATTAGTTATACAACTAACGACAGACGCTAGGATAGCAAGCGCCATGCGTAGCTGGTGATCGTCGGGGACCCGTCGTTTGACCTTGGAGGTTCGACTGATGCGTCATGCATGTTTGCTCGCCGTCACGTCACGACTCACGACTCTTGTGCGCCCCGGCAAACGGATGGTATACACACGATTCATCAGTCATGACAAAAGGCTTGGTACACGGCTTGAGTTGTCCCATCGGTGCCGTCGATACTGAAGACTGATGCGTGTCTCCCTCTCGTCTCTTGAGTTTGTCCAGAGCAGACCTCCATGAGCGTGCGTAGGGACCAGCAAAAAAGAATAAAAGCTTGCTATAACTGAGTTGAGCTAGCTACTTACACTATTTAGTAAAATATATTATAACATGTATAATTATAAAAAATCTTGCGCTTAAGACTCTTTTTTTTTTCAATATAATCTATTATATAATGATACAATATAACACAACAGAGTATAGTAAAAATTACAAAAAATATAATACTTTTAAAGGTCTAGTCCAGAGGCAGTAGACGCCTCGTGATGCTAGACTGATGTCACTAATGCAGCGTGGAGCAAGAGTCTATGCAATGCAGATTCCAAGACCACATCTCGTTGCTCTGCAAAGGGGAGAGAGAGGTGGATCATCTGTCTACCCTCGGTTCGTCGGCGCAAGCCCAAAAGTTGACAGGTATTCAGCAGCGTGCCCTTGGGGAACCAACGCGTCGCGGCCAAGAAGGGCCATATGGGACGAGAAGCGAGGCGTGGGAGACAGGACGGAGTCATGGGTGTAACGTATTCTCATGGCAATACATCTAGAGGAGCAACCATTTCACGTTGGCCATCACTCCTGCGGCAACCCCCAAGATAATGGCATCTTCGTAGATGAAGCCACGTGTCATGCCTCATGTAATGGCGGTAGGCATGCGCCGAGTTTCGCAGTCAATGGATCGCAGAAAATGGCCAGGGAATGATTGTCATACGTGCCTTCATGTGTTCTCCGCTTGGGTTTCAATGCGGCCGAAATCGTCACTACAATACACGGATGAGACTCCAAGAAAATACCGAGGGCGGAATCCTCGACATCAAGACCGCTGGGGTCTCTTCCCTTCACTCGGCATCTCTTCTCTCCATCAGAGCTGAACTGACAGAACAGCTCAAATAACGGTATTGTGTGATTAGACTCTCACATCGCCAGGAGGGCCATGCGTCCACAGCATGCAGTCGTACCGTGATCAAACGCGGATATGGACCAAGACTGACGGCAATAAGAGGAATTTAAAAAAATAAAAAGAAAAAGAAAAAGAAGAGACACGTAACAACACGGCCCAGATTCAGCCGAAAGTACCTTCCCAGACATGCTTCCCACTCGTCTTCGGCACTTGTCCCATGTCCGACCCGCTTCATGGGTTACTATTCCCACAAACGTGTTCATTCTCCAGAGGCGCATCAGGACAGGACTTCGTCAAGACACCCACCAGCCCTGTTCAGTGGCACCGGAATATGACCGTCGGCCGTCGGGACGACCAGAGGCATCCGAGGGATCACGACGACGACGACGACGACGATGACAATGACAACGCAAAGCCAACGGGTGCCATTGCGAAGCCAAGTTATATGTCCAAGACACGGCACAGAGCCTCTTGTCCGGTTTCTGCTTGTGCCGCTTTTCTTTCTTTTGGACCCTCGCCGTCGTAGGCGCTTCAACCCCGTCTGTGCGCCGTTTCTTCCCGCATTGTCTCATCCTTCCACAGCCATCGCGGCATCCCTCATCAACTCCTGTGCCGCCGCCTGCATGGTTCTTGGCCCTGTGATCCATCACTTGCCGGGTCGTCAATCTGGCTTCCTGACTGGTTGCTAGTTTCGTCCTGCTGCCTACACTTCTCAGCACCAGTCTCACCTGCGTGCTCTGCCGGCTTGTTTGAGAAAACACTCACTCCCGTAACTCGACCTCGAGGTAACACATCAATGCTACCATTTAGAATTGTCGGCTGAGACAAGACTTCTTGATTTATCTCCTGCAGCCTTGTTCATACATCGGGATTGTGTCTTGCGATGTTCGAGCCCAAGACACGGCCATCGCCATCGCCGGGGAAGGCTAGATTCTACCACCCCCAGGAATCTTTAGCTGTCCCATAAATTCACACAAGTACTACCTTGGTTGTCGATATTTTTGCAGCAACATTCGGGCTCAAAGCTTAAAGAGATCACGAACCCCAACCACTAAGCCGACACTTTTAGGACGGCAAGTTCTCCATGTGCCAAGAACCGAGGGAGAGGAGCGCGATTTGTCGACTGGCATTCATCCATTAAAGTACACGATTTGGTCATTCTTTTAGACCTGAAGTATCGCATCTCACATGTCGAAATGCTACCTCCAGTACTGCGAGGACGGCACCAGAGGTGGCGTAGCTTCAGTTGAGACTTCTAAACGTCCAGTCCAAAAGTAGTGTGGTTGTCCGAGTGAAACATGATGGCCAGCCATTTGTGCCAGCTTCTTGTGATGAAGGTAGTTGGCTCGACCACTCAACCTATATGCCCTGAGTTCGTCAAGGACATCCCTCATTCCAGCAACTTCGCTGCGAGTTGGCGGTCGCAGGTCGGGCGGCATCACCGCGGCACTCCAGGCAACATGAAAGATGAAAGACTCGGGTGGTGCCCCAGCTAACATTTGAGCAGGGCTTACAGGCCCAACTCCATCCCGTACGTGGCGCCCAAGAACCAGGCGTCGGTAATCTTTAAGTACTTCTGGCGCATCAGGGTTGTTCGGACCTGCCCATACGGGAATGGAAAATCTGTCCCCGTTCCAGTCGGCATCATATATGATAAACTCTGAGCTGTCTCGGGCGGTTCCAGACGCCCAGTCATCGACTGCAGCTCGGCTGTCTATGGCCACCCTTTTGGAATGCAACACTCGTCTACTGGACGATCTCGACCGGCTCTCTGTCCGTTCATCTTCGAAAAAACTGAAGACCTTTTCCCCACTATTCATCAACTCCGCTGGGTCAACATCTTCTGGGATGAAAGTGTCTTCCATAGAATCGCGTTCGAATTCTAACCTCAAATGTCTCAGACCCTGTAAGACGCCCGGGCTGTGCCGCGTTGATGGGCCAAATGACGCGTCCTGGATTCCGCGCTCCTGAGTGGCAAGCAGTTTGAGGAATTGCAGTAGTCGCGAAATCAGCGGCCCGGATGAGCGAAGGGGAAGACAGGTCAGGGTGAGGGATAGCAGACGCGGGTTCATGTCGGGTATGAATGTTTGGGGATAAGCAATCTCTACGCGTCGTAGAATCGCCGTCTCGGCCAGAAACTGTCTTCCCGAGGACGACAATCCCACTACCCGCAGACTCGGTATATTCGTTACCAGAGAATGGTGAATTCGGAGTACACGGAGGTTGGACGAAAATACAGGCCTGAACAAATGTGCCGCGCCCAGAATGCCGTGCAGGTCGGAATCCGGTGGCCAAGCTTTCCGGTAACTCCCAACCTTAGGAAGCAGAGGCATAGAATCGCAAGCTAGATCTTCTATGTGGCCGTTCGATATACGTACAAGCTTTTGTACTCCGTGGGCGGAAATCGTATTATACGATAGACGAAGATGAGTGATGCCCGTAGAGCATAGGTAGTCGTCTGCTCCTAGGCGCGATCCATGTTCCTCTAATAATATGTTTTTCGCGGCGTCAGCACTGTCTTGTCGCACCGCTTTGCTTCCATCCAACCTCTGAGCTTGATACTCCTGCAGAACCATGCTGACACTGCTGGTATAAGCTGGCGCATCGACCAAGTATCGCTCTGGGTGACAGAACGAAGAACTAAAATCAGACTCTTGTATGGCGAGAAATTCCCCGTAGTCACTTGTTCCCATAGACGGTGTAACGATGTTTCCTTCAACTTGCATATGGGTATTAGTGCGCAACGGTGCGCCGGAGAAGCCCCAATCTCGGAAACTCTGGACCGCATCATCTGAGATCTTGTTGCTACTCACATCTAAGCTCCAAAGTCGAAGTCCAAATCGGCTAATCAATAGACACAATGCCGAATCGTCCAATTCTCTTCCTCTCACCTTCAGAATTCGCAGGGCCGGCAATGCGTTTGACTGAAGCAGCGGGAGTACGGATCCCGGAAGATTGGATATGTCCAGGTATATCAGTTTTTGGAGAAGCGGGGTATTGGAGAAGAGGCTGGGGAGTTGACAAGAGCAGTCTCTCATTGAGAGAATTCGAAGATTTTCCAGGCGAAGAGGTGGAGATTGAGACCCTGACAGGACTGCATGGTCAATTTCGGCGTGGCCGTCAAGAAGAATGGTGTTCACATTGGGCAGAAGTGCCAACGCCCGCTGCAAACTACTGGTCCACGTTTTTCCATTTTGATCTGACGAGAAGTCGAAAGAGTCCTTGGCAAAGGATCTCGCGTCCAGGCATTGAACAAGCGCTCGAGTCGCGCTCCCAACTCTATCAAGCTTATTGAATACAAAGCCAAACCACCAAGTTAAATCTGTGGTTGAACAATCGCATCATCAATACTGAGGTTCACCAAGACGCTGAGGAAATGACGCTACCCTTCCGTATAGCGGTTTTAGGCTCGTATACACTCACCATCTCCTGAATCAAGACCAGTGCGCCTCACTGAGCATAAGAGATCCCTCCACAAACGTGGAGCAAAGATTTGTCGAAATCCATGACTGACCAAGCACAAGGAGCGGTAGTCCTCAAAGTCGCAATACGGAGCAACTAGAGTCAGCCAATCTGTTTTTGTGGTAGCTTCTTGGTAGGACGGTAAGAAAGACATGCCCACATGCCCACAAGGTATCAGTGATATTTTCTGGAGCAAGTCTAGCTCGAGAGCAAGGGACACTGGTGAGTCAACGCCAATCGACACCCGTGTGCCGTTTTAAACGGTTCCCCGGGGTCGCAGGTGCTACCGATTGCAATAAAGACTGTGTAGTCGCGCCGGTGAAACGCCCAGCCTTTCTGTCCGACAGAATCTCGAAGTGATGCTTGGCATAGCCTGTGGTTGAGCTGAGCGAATACGACAATGCTCATCATTCCATCAGCTCGTGAGACCATGCGCCATCTGCGAGTTGGGCAAAAGCCAAGGGGTGAAGAAGGACAAATGAACAGAACTGTCTTCAGCGGAAGAGTATGGCTGCTGCGAATGTAGGGCTGTGTGCAAGCCCAAGGCCGTCAAATGGAGTTGGCGAGGAGGACTCGTTGAGGGACGAGTCAAAGAGCCAACACGACAAAAAGCGGGCGTGTGAGATGCAAACGCAAGAGCTTGGCGTCGGAGGCCGGGGCTCGGGATGGATCCGTGCAATGTTAAGCCAGCCAAATCGACGTTAGAGTGCCCAGGTAGGTACTTGGGTACCTAGGCACTTACTTAAGTGCCCAAGTACCTCGGTACCTGACCGCCTGGCACCTGGCACCTTGGCTTGGCGTCGCCGAGCCATTTGCCTCTCCATACTTAGTGGAAAAGCCCAGGACAAGTCACAAGCACCAAGGCTTTTTAGCTCTGTCCAGTGGTCTTGTCTGCGCAAATGAGGCCTGGCACTGAGGACAGGCAAGGGTTCGAGGGCATTGGAACACTTTGCAAGAATTGGTGAGACCGGCGACAGAGCATACAGTACGAGGCGCCAAAGACCCTTTGTTACTTAAAGTTGTCAGGTGCACAAACTCAGACCTGCACTACTGTTGGCACCAGACGGCAAGTGGGCTGATGGGTCCTGCCTGCACTCGGCCGCTCCAGAGTGACATCAGCTCGGGGCAGGAACTACTTGGGTTGGAATGGGGGCGACTGCACAATATTTGACAGCTCTGGGTCTCTGACCATCGCTGCTGGACAAAAGCAAAGACTGATGCTTCATGTCCAAATGTCGTACCGGGTAACACAGGCTGCGAACCACTGATCGACCGATCCGTCACCCATGTCCCAGTTTATCTTTCCTCATCCGGGAAGAAGATAATCCACATGCTTTCTTTTTGACTCTGTCGAACCTTGCCGATCCTAAGGCTAGCTAGCAGCTAGTTACCCGGACAGGACCGACCAAAAATTCCATGTTGGCAACATGGGCAATTTTCGCAGCTGACCCGGCAGGTACGGCCAAGGCAGGCTACGATAAACAAGACTAGATCTGACGACGGTGCTCCGTAGTCGTCCCCAGCCCAGCTCAGCTGAGGGACGCACAGAGCAATTGCCGCCCTCTGTCACCACCGCAAATATGACAGGTCCAATTTCAAGCCATGGCCAGCATCATCGGCATCCGATAACGAATTCCCGAGGCTGCCGCTGAGCACCATCGACCCTGATCTGATAGCTTCCGAGCCCAAGTGGAGAAGCCGACCAATACGTTTGATTGTGATTCGAGATGACAGAAGTATCCGCCCAGTTCCAGTTCGCAAGAGAGGTTGCCGGCCGGCCAACTCGACATGAGAAACAAAGTGACAAATTTGGATCCCCTTGACCCTGTTTGGGAATGACGAGCACCCACATCATGCCATCGCAAAGAGATATTCAGCAAGATCGCCCTAACACATTCATCTAGTTTTCTGGTCATGGCAGCGATCCGCCTCAACAACCAGAAGCCAACATCCCAGCCTCTGGTGAGACGCTTCGTGACCTGTGCTGCCGCTCGGTAGCTAATCGCGCGACGCTGGAGCTGTTGGTTCGGACAACCCCTCGTCTCTTCCCGTCCGGACGTCTCCACGAGGAAACGGCCGTCTGGGTCCTTGCGTCTGAAGTTTCCCATCGTGGCGGTTGCTAGTCGCCAGCTGGGGCCTGCTTCCAGCCCATGCACTCAAGGAGGGCGTACTTTCAATAGCTCTCCTCTTCTGAGAGGGGAGGCTCTTCGAGTTGTGCATTGGCAGAACGAAGGTGCTACAGCAGATCAATCAATTACTGGATTGAAACACGACGCGGAGATGACACCAGGCGCTCGTCACTCTGGCACGTCTGTCCTCATTGCTCCAATGTTCTCAGTGTGGCGTTTGCCCAGGGGGCCTAGTGTGGCCAAGTCCCGTTCATGTCGTGCATCTAACATTGACCCCATGGTCATGTTGGCTGATGGCGAATGATCAGGGTTCCCCAGATTCTCTCGCAGCCACCATCGACAGCTCAACTGCCCAGGAGAGTAGCGACACTGGCATCAAGAACGCTTGCCATGCGGGCTCGTACCGTCACCTGTAGGGGCGTGCGCTTGCCGAGGCAATGCCGACTCCCGAGCATCGTCACCAGCGCGACAGTTTGGTCAGACAACAACAGTAGCCCTATGGAAGCCTTCGCGACTGCCACAGCACCGTGGAGAGAGTTGAAGCCAGGCGGGACACATGCGGACGCGAAAACACTGTCACAGCATCTTGCCTCATTCTGCAGCTACAGCTACCAACGGGGCAAGGGCCAGGAACGCTAGCCATTCTCGCTGCATTGGGACCTGCGTCTGGCACAATGTGCTGAGAGACAGGACTTCGGCATGAGTTCTGACTCCAGGTGAAAGTGATTAAGTGGTTTTTTTTTTCCGCGCGTGTCATGGCCCGAATTGCATCATGAGCCTCAAGTGCAGGAATTCTTCTGGACACGGACCCGGGTCCTCTCTCTCTCTCCCTCTCTCTCTCTCTCCCGCCACAATTCGGCTAGAAATTGCTTTTTGTCCCTCGTGTTTGATTATTGCGATTTTTAGAGCGGGCAGAGCTTGGTTACTCTTGTTGACTAACACGCCTCAGTGGAATCGAGACAGTACATGTGCCCCACTTTTCCCTGCACGCTGGCACCGGGTGAGCTGCAAACAAGCAAATATCAGAAACCTCGCTGCTAGTTGCGTAGTTGGCCGCTTGAGCAACTCGATCAACCTTGCCTGCTACGATTCAGGAGACGGAGAGGGTTGCATCATACTAGCTCTTCAAAATCGGAAGAAAAAAAAGTAAAAATGCAGGCAAATGGGACCAGTCTATGGGACACGGATACATTTGCACGCCCAGCCCAAGCAGCTTTGCGTGCTCGCGGGCTTCGACTGTGAATCCCAAGCAGACTCAGCTATTACAATAGGCTTGGCTGGTTTCCTCGTCCTCCCCTTCCAGAGCTACTACTAGTTCGAGTAGGCTGTTTCAGTCACGGAGACGTCTTTTTTACGGACGGCTTATGGCACTTGGCACTTGCCAGGCACTACTCGTATTTGGGCGACTGCGCTTGACAAGACTGGGCATAATCCGCGCCGTCACGGCGATCATTGACTCGGAGTGAACTCCCCGAAATCTGAGTGGACGCCCATCTTGCCGGGTCTTTGTCTTTTGCACACCCACACTCCCCTTGTTCGAACCCATTGCTTTTGGCCCGAGGCGCAACGTGACACAAGCAAAAAGGCACTTTGTTTACATGAGAAAAAAACCTGCGTCCTGAGCCCTCTCTTCAAGGACTTCGTCTGCCAATCCAACCCCAAGAAGGCAGCAAGGCGCTTGGCATTGGTGTGACGTGGGGCGGCCCTTGGAAAACGTGCCTCGGTTCAGACCAGACCTGATGGCATCATCCCCTCCTCCTTTCTCCCCTCTGTATGCCGTCCTACTGTGGTGTAACATGCAACCCCTATCAGTTCCTTACTGCTGGGTACGGAGTCCGGCTTGGTTGTGCGACAAGCGTCGTGACGGTTCAATGTTGTTCTCCCGCCTGGGAGCCTGGGGCCAATGAGGGGTCCAAGTACGGGATGCGGTAGTCACCAGTTGACACCCTGACATGTACATCTGAGACAGCATGGAGAGAGAGCCCCATGGCCGCCGCTCCCAACAAATTGGACGGAGACACCCCCCGATCTTGATCTTTGTTCTTGTACCACCAATGACCATGGCCTTCAAGGCCGACGCTGAACCACCACCAGTCACCCGGCACCTGCAGATGGCGTACCGAGACGTTGCGACGTGCGCAATGCGAGACCGGTCAAGTTTGGATGCGTCACACACGAAAACTTTAACAGACAAGGGGAGAAAAGAAACTGGGTCGAGACTAGATTACATTGTTTGTATACTACATTACAGTGCGCTTGTGTCGGTGCCCTTTGTAAAATACACATGCAAACTCATGGCACCCATTATCGCCATCGTTTCCGTCAAGACGGTGTGGGCACCTTACCAGGAACCGGTAGTATTTTTTGCTTTTGCCTTTGCTTCAACCATTCCAATTCATACCCCGCGTAAAAATATCATCTCAGCCGTATACAAAGGCTTGCTCTCCCAGGTCTGCCTGCCTTCCGCTGGCACATTGCCAAACCGCGTGATAATGATGCATGCAGCCGAAATTGAAAAAAAAAAAAAACACTCTCCTCCTCTCCCGCCTTGGATATCAAAATCGGGCTCCGTCCCGCCGACTTTCGTAAATGAGAGCACGAAACCTGAAAACAAAGCCAATATGCGCCGACACATGTGACAAGAGATGTGAACAATCGACTAGAAGGTGTAAGGAGAAAGAAATAGAAATAGATCAAGAAATGGAAGAGAGAAAGGATAAAAGTTTAGTCAAAATGCCGGCGTCGTTGCGTGTTTTGACGGATGCATGGGGAGATAAAATCCCATAATTCAGCCGCACAAAGATGAAAGCTCCGATGTTGAACTGGTCTGTCGGATGTTGCAGCACCATTCGAGAGATTCCTGGGGGTGTCCCTGTCCCTCCATGGCTGGCCCGGCAATGACCTGTCGCGGAGCCGAGCGATTGGCTGCTACAATTAGATCGACCTCGTTTCTTTTCTCGGGAAGCCTCTATCCTGGACGAGACGCGGTACGCATTAGGCTGCAGCTCTCGGGATCAACCCCACAGAGTGGATGCCAGACTAGGGGCAGGGGTCATGCATCATCCGGTAAGCGCGCAAGCACAAGGCAATAAATAAATGGAAGTGCAATCAGTAGTCATCGCCCCGCTTATCGGCCGCCTTGGATTTCGGTGGCGCTCTGCGCTTGCGGCTGCGCTCCTCTTGTTCGATAATTGGCACTGCGGCGGGGATAAACTCGACACCGCGATTCCTGCTATTGGGACGAGCGTGGAGCTTGCGGTGATTGTTCAGGTTATCTTGACGGTTGAATTGGTCCTTTCCGCAAAACTCGCAGGAGAAACGGTTTGGTCCCTCGCCGTGAAAACTGAGTGACTGTTAGTGAGACCTTGTAAGCGGGTGGCAACTCGAACTACTTACGTTTGCTTGTGACGTTTTAAGTGTTCGTTTCGGCGGAAGGCCTTGTGGCATCCGGGATAATCACACTTGCACATGGCCCGGCGAACGACATCGACGGCACCATCTGACTTGGCAACAGATACCTTGCGAGAGGCCCGGATTTGAGCACGTTGTAACTCACTGGTCTTTCTTTGAATCTCGTGTACCATCATTTTTCGATGGGCTCGCAACCGGCCGGGAGAAGGTGGTGCGTGCAAGTGATAGGTATCGAGAGGAGACTGGGAGTGTCTGTCTATATCTAAACCCTCCAGGTCAAGATGCCCTAGGCCCTTCTGGGGGAAGAAGGAGATTGGGCTCTCGTTTGAACATGACCATGATGACGTGGACTCGGCAACCTCGGACCCGGATAGGCTGTGAGTTGGGGTCATCATGAATGAGGTAGGTCCCATTGTCGTCGGTGAGATTGTGTACATTGGGAAAGTTCCTGAAGGTGTGATGGATCCAATGGAGTTCCTTGATGCCATATTCATGTCAAGCATGTGATCGTAGTCTGGAGTGGCCATTCCGTCCATCTTCTTCATGGGAGTTGTTGGAATAGCCTCGTTGAATGACAGATGTTCGGGCTCTACCTTGACAGGACCCCCAAACACGTACTTGGACATGTGACCAGAAGGCGAGGTGAGCTCGCTGTGATGAGTAGCGAAGGGATTGTATGTGCCTTCGAAATCCAGGCTGAGTTCATTTGGTGTAGATCGTCGTGATGTAGGAGTAAAAGGCTCGTACGCAGATGATGCTGATGAGAAGCTGGTGCCGGCTGAAGGGCAGGACATGGCCTGACTGCACATGCTGAAGCTGTCGTCCATATCGAATCGGAAGTCCGACTCAAACTGCATGGTGGCGATGATAGTTTGTTGATACCGTTACCGTTGTTCTTATTGCCTTGTTGTTGTTGTTTTGTTGTAGTTGATGACGGTGATGTTGTCGCTGTTGTGTTTGCAGATAAGAGGAAAGTAATAATGAGTGAAATTATTCTCGGTTTGTCAACTCGAAGAAAAAAAAAAAGGGCAAAGATGTAAGTAATGCCAAGGGTAGCTCAAGGCAGACTTGACATGTAAAACCAAGCAAGGTAGAAGGGACCTGAGGGAAGACAAGGAGTGGTTCTGGTCGGGAATGTTTTTTTAATGGAAAGAGGACGGACGCCCCTGAAGATATACTCTCGAGGTGGAATGAGTTGTGGAGGAAGATACCGACCGAGTGAGACAATCCCAAGGTGCAGATCAACCCCAGTCGATCGAGAGACCTTGTGGTGCTGAGTGAGAGACGCCGAGAGACAAATGGTGTGCACAGCCTGTGCAGGAAAGGAATGGACGCAGAGATGGGCAAAAAGGCAATAAATCTCGATGATAGTCGATCAAGGAGGGCGGGCAAAGAGACTCCACAGGAACTATCGGTGGTATAGATTTGATGTTTTGGATATCTAGTGCCTTGTTTCGTCATCCCTCGAGCTCGAACCATCTGACAACTGACAACGGATCTAAGGAGGAAGACAAAAGAGGGAGAAGAGCTCGCCGAGTAGATATATAGGAATCCAGGCACAAGCTTGGAAGTTGCCGCCGCCTCAATTTCAGCATCCACGTATTGTACGATGCCCCATTAAGGCTTGGGGCCGTGGAGGAGTGACTATCGCTGGGATGCATCGTGCAAAAAGAACAACGATCGTTCGTGCGACTAGGTATCCCAGCAGTGCCTGGGTATGCTAAACTGAGCAGTGTGGATGCCAAAAGGGCTCGAGTGGATAGGTGGAAGTGGACGAGATGTGGACGAGAAGGTGGATGTGGATGTGTGTGTGGACTGAGGTTGCGGCCCACTATGGAAGATGGGCAACGGGGTGGGAGTGAGAGAGGGAGTAGTCAGAGACAAGAGTTCCATTTCCCATGTATGGTGAAGTTGTGTCCTGGCCAAGCCAAGAAGCGGTTGTGATGCGCCGAGTCGAGAGCATTCGAGGAAAGTGGTCGAGAGAGTCAAGAAGAGCCGAGAAGTCGACGGACCTGGTCGGGGGCGTGCCATGAAGATGTGGCGTGGGTCCAGCAACGAGTCGCAGTTCCTAGTACGTACTCCGTAGTGTGGAGTATGTACCTGGGTACCTTTGTACCTGACCAACTGAAGCCTGGGCCTGGCACCTCGCGCCTCTAACCTCACGCCCTACCCTGCCGTGCCCTGCCCTGCCCTGCCCTGCCCTACTACACCTGACTGACGATGACCCTCCAGATGTCACGACCTCCACGCTCCGCGCCTCACGCCTCACGCCTCACGCCCCTCACCTCACTTCTCACTTCTCACTCCTCAGTTTACGCCCTTCCCTCCTCCGACAAATCCACCTCTATAGTGGCGTCGTTGTCGTGTCATGTAGTCTGCCGTTTTGCCGTTTGGCGTGTGCCGTTTTGATTCCCATCTCAAACGCTGTCGAGTGCGTTTGTTGGGCAGCGCCAGCGTTCCGATCTCCTGAGCCCTCCAAACCGTCTTGGCTTGCGTCTCTCCGTTTAGCTCCATCAGTCACATTAGGGGCCGCTCCTTCACCAGTGCATTGCCCAGCAGAGCAACGTGAAAACAACGCAACGAGAAGCAACGCAGCGAAAAGCTACGCAACACTACACAAGTCACGTTTAGTGGGCATCGTACCGCACTGCACTGCGAGCCAGCCGGCAAGAAAACAAACGTCGACCTGTGCTTGAGCTGCTTCTCCGGGTATTAGTGTTGGCGGCGCCGCTCCGACGCACTACGTAACGGGGCGTGGAGGCACCAGGACGCACGTACAACCAAATTACAAAATGGCATCCGACAGGCAACTTAGCGGCCGGCCAACACTAAGGATGATGCACCTTTTCCCCCACGGACAACGGAGAATATGGCTGCAAATTTTACCTCGGCCGCTACAAGGTCAATCAATACATCATCACCCTGCAGCCGCTTCCCTGTGAGCCATGAAGTCGCTCTGGATCCCCGCCCTCAACCCATTAAATAGTATTATCGGCAACTATACGCCCGCTGGCCAATCCAGGAACATGATCGACACCAATTAGCTTGCTCGGGACCCCATTGGCTTGTTCAATATCAGAGCACCAGCCACCTTGAACGGAGGATCTTGGGGCTACATCAGACGATGTGCTACTCCGTACGGAGTAGAGAGCAAGAGTCCAAGGGTTGTCACTAATACGTTCTCCATCCTGCCGAACAGACTAGGCGTTTCGGTCCGGCCCCGGCGCGCCTTTTCTACCATCGGTCTCCTCGCTTCCAAGGGACGGAAGTCATATAGTTCGCGGGACCACAGCCCACACCTGGGGAGGCCTATTATTTCCTCTGTTTGTAATCAGGGCTTTCGTCTCCCAGTGTCAAACTGCCAGTCAGGGCCGATCTACCCACTATAAAACATTGACTATCATGGTGTGGGTGGCGGCTCAGCAAACCAATAGTTGATTGTCAGTGGAATGGAAATGATGGCAAATTGCACTTCAAAACATCGAAGGCTGGTGAGACATCCATATCTCACCGAGGACACCCGAATCGGAGACACATCTCCGCACCAGCTTGTCATTCAAGAGAAGACCACATCGGATAAAAGAGTTGAAGCGCGGCCCAGCACTTGCATACTCGCTCACGATACAGTTGTAGTGTCCATGGACTTGATACAACATGGACGCGCATGCGCGCGTACTTGTCATGCCGAGTGCGCCTCAAGTTGCGCATACAAATATAGGAGCACTCAAATTGGTTGCTCGCAAGATTCGCATATGCTTGATCTAAAAGCAAAAAGCAAAAAGGGTTTCTTACTAGCGCATGTCTCACACACGAAGGGTACCCAGAATTGCTTAGTATGGCCTGCCACTTCAAATCAGTGATGCTAGCGAGGCCAGGAACAGCTTTTGAGGAAGATGTCGGAGACGGTTTTCAACGCTTGTCAAGCCCTTCGTCTCCCCAAACTCCCAATTAGACTGACGACACAGAGGAATAGACTCCAACTAGGACAGGTTGAGCGCAAGCTACACAATTGCACCACAACTTGCAAGTGGCGCGCAAGTAATGTACATTTCTGAAGGTAAGGGCATACGAAGGCTAGAAAATTGTGCTCCGGACACATCAATTTTTCGTGCCTCGTGCCGGTCAATATCCCTACCATTTCTTGCGGGTTGTAACTTCTCATCCCAAGTCTTACAAAGTAGACAATAGCTGAGCCAGTGGGAGCACTTCATTATCTAGTACGAGAATTGGCTTTCTGGGGTTCGGGATGCGACAACCAACTGTGTTTCCCGGACCGCGCATATGAACTAATCCACAGCCAAATGCTCCTATCTTGCTAGCCAAGAGTCTAGCTGCGCAGGTGTTATTAAGGCTTAGTCTACACTACAATACATCCCGGAAACAAGGCTTGAGAGGGACAATTGCCGATTTGAAGCATCTACCACCTATGAGGTAAAGGTCACATACAAGTCAAGGTTCGCCTCTCTTAGCGCGGCCGCTTGTATGTAACTAAACCCGTCCACAACGGCTGCTTTTTATGGCAGGCCTCTGAGAAATGAGAGAGGCGGCACAGGCACGACGGGAGGCTACTCCGTCCGGCCTGGGTGTCATCAAGGGAAGAGATCTTTGTGAGTGGATTCGGGGGTCGCTACCAAGCACGTCACGCCGCCGCAGCGACCATGCATACATACGTATTCAATCTTGGGTTAAGCTAATAATCTAATAGTTGGATTTAGTCTCTCCTCATCGAGCATCTCTCTACTAGCGAAAACCTCAATTAAACAGTGACGCCAGATCACGATATATGGGTCGTTCAAGGGCACCACTGCACCCGAATAGGGTGTCACACCCCTTTCTTCGGGCTTAATTCAGTCATCCTTCCCTTCCAGGTCGCTGGATTATTTCCTATTTGTCTTGGCAACTCCTCAGATGTTAATAAATCCCGTCAACGGAAATTGTCAGGCCGGTGACCACAGCCACAAGCAAAAGTCACCAAAAGGTGCTGGCGGTGATATTATGTATGTTACACCACGTCAAACTTGGCCATGTTTGCCGGCCGATTCACACTTATTACTTATCCGCGCCAGCCAAATCTGCAGGGCAGCCATTCAAGGACCACCTCAGAAGTTGGTGCACCCTTGGTTCGCCGATCAGTGTGATAATATGGACGGCTGGACGAGCGCAATATCCGAATCACCGGTACTGGGCACGTGGTAATATTTATGACTAGACGGCACCATTTCATTGTCTCCCTGAGATGCAGTCAAGCAGGGACAATGTCCTCCCCGGACATATCCAGCTCGCGCCAGTTTACTACGTGGTCTACCTTGTACTATATCTGGAGCCATATCGTCCTCGGAGTGACACGTATCGCAGGAATACAGCCATGCCCGAGTAGAAAACCCGACCTTGAACTCAAAGGAAGATGACCAATTACTTCCGAATTAGTTGTAAGTGCATCATGGACCAAAGGCCCCAGCAACCAGATACCAGTTGAGCTAATGGCTCAACGATTTAGCGGCTTCGGTGCCCACATTGGCAGGGTGCTACCGATCCAAACCAAACGTCAAGGGTACTCACATTCACAATGGGGGCTAGGTACGTAACAATTATTCACTGGCGGGTGCAAGAGAGCACCGTCTTTTTTTCCCTCAAGTTCATGGCGTCCCGTTTTGGAGAAAAGCGTACCTGGGACAGTGTTGCTCCTGATATACTCTTCCTAGCGGGGACCACAAATGTTTGGCTTTGACGTGTTGCTCATCCGTACACGTTATCACCAATACACGAACGACGACGTCTTTCCGAAACCTGCATCGGAAAAATTCCAAGGTATATCCCTTGACTGTTCGTCAAGGGACCATGATGCTTCGACCCTGCAGATTCATACTGCTTCCCTTCAAGTTCTTGATAAATTGCCGATAGCCCTACCACTGGGAAGGAACTTATGTTGCTGGCGAGCAAGACTCAAGGTCTTTTGCAGGGGGAGGGATTGCCTTGCAAGAGGATGAAGTGGATCTCTGGGCATCTCTTGCAAGCTCATCGTGTGCTACCAAGTTCCAGGAATAACCATCTCGTGGCATATGGCTTTTGCCTCCCCTGGTTTCCTTGTCTGGAAATCTCAAGAGGTGAAGCGTCAACTTGGCATCCGCTAGGCGTTCTGCGACTCAACGCCATCTTGTGTGCACCGGGCAGGCTCACTACGTCACACACGTATACGATGAGTCATGTGGGTAAGATATAAGCCCATCCGATTGATGGTGACTGCTGTATTCGTTCTTGGCAGACCACAGTTGGAAGCTATTTTCTGAATCCGCCCATCTTAGCTGGTACATACAGAGAGCGTAGGGATACCTGGTCTCCTCCCCCGCTCATCCTATGTACAACTGGCAGAGAGGCTGGTAAGCCAAGGATTTGCCCCCCAGGTTTTTTTTTTTTTTTCCCCTTTTGAGAACCGTCGGCAAGAGACGTTACAGACGCTGGTACTCTCTATAAGCGCGTGAGATGGTGTCTGCACTATACATAACTAGCAGGTACCCGATTGGATGCCGCAAGGCATGGTCGCTCAAAACCTCGGCTTGGTCAAATCTATTGGTCAGACAAAAGTCAACTCGAAATGCAGAACAGGACGGACGTCATGTCGCCGCCACTCCGCTCTAGCAACCGGCGCTTTCAAGATCAGATAGTGAGACATGTTGGCCCTAACAAAGCGTCACATGAGAGACCGCAGGTTACGACGAAGCGACCGGCGTCACGTCAGGTCGGGCCCGCCAAGTGTCACTTTACCCAGCGTTTATGCACCAATCAGACTTGATTTACTTTCTGTACGGAGTGCATGCAGCTGCAAGTAAATGTCACTTTGATGGATACCTGACGATTGCTCAGTCAACCGTGCCACTCGCAGGCCGATGGAATAATCCGTGGCCAAAGTGGCCTTTGGTCATGTCTCGATTTCAGAAACCAGACCAAAACGGCAACTAAAAAGTAAATTGTTGGCGTTGACACGAATGAAGGAGGCATCTGCGGCAGCGAGGTTACTCAGCCTTCTAGAAAGAGAAGGATATCTTGTGGGATTGCATTCCAGCTCTCCAACACAGCTCGTTGAGGAGCCAAAAAGAAGGATTCCGTGCCGATGCGCGTTGGGGCATTATACGTGTTTGATGCAATATAAGTACTACGTCCGGCGGCCGTCAGTCACGGAGCGTTTATTGCAAGCAGTCAAGCTTGTCATGCACGACATACGCGGAGAGTGAGACAGCCCTTTCGAATTGCCGTTTGAGAAACCAACGTTTCACCCAGAGTGCGATCGGACTTTGCTCCGGCTCATGGCGACTGCAAGATTGTGTTCAAACCTTCCAAATCGGCAACGACAGAGTTTGTTGGTGGCTTGGCTACCATGACCAGGGTCCAAACTCCAGAGGTCCAAATTTTCGACGTCCACGAGTGGCCAAATATCGAGGCTGGGTCCAAAGATAGACCATTGACGGTGAGTCCGGGAAGTGGTCCCATACTGCGGCCTTGGTGGTGGGAAAGTTCGTTGACTGGAATCATCGGAATCTGAGAGGCGAGGCAGGGGAAAGTTAATTCAGGGATTCAAAACGCCATGTCGCAAAGAGGGAAGGAGACCTCTCCGGCTGTCCATTCGCACTTCACTGCGCCGTACCGATGGAAAAGGATCAGCCAGCAGCGGTAATGCCGCAACGAGGATCCATTTCTACCCACCTTCAAGGTGCGGCCCGGCCTAACATGGGCATGGGGTCATGTCACGCACCCACCCACCGCAACGTGTTGTGTGTGTGTGAGTGAGTGAGTGTGAGTGTGAGCGTACCTACGGAGGAGTACAGGGCGGCGGCGGCACGGAGTACCATGCGAGCAAAAGACCCGGAGGGCTCGGCTAGATACGTCGCCAAGATGACCGACCTTGCCCAGCCCAGCATCCAGCAACGTGAATGCCTGTGAAACGTAAGGGGTAGGGTTTGGAGAGTCGTCCCGGGAGGGGCGCTGTGTTGTAGCAGCATCGTCGTATTGAATTGTCCTGACCCATCCGGATGGCGGACAGACTGCCGCGATGGGGGATTCAATATTGCCATAGGACTCAACAGTCGAGGAGTGGTGAGGCTCGAAGACCTTGGGATCTGGAGTTAAAAAAAGCGCATCACCAATGCAATGCAATGCAAATGCAGGTCGCTCGCTTTGGCAAGACTGTCTGTCTGGCCGTCGAGTGTTCCGTATCGGAAACCTTGAGGTCTTTGCCGACGACGACATCAACTCATCCAAGTCTGGACAATGGTTGTCAAGACTCGACACCACCACATCAACGACCGTGTCGACTGCGACGGTGACGAAGGCGACGACGACGGCGAAGACGACGGCGAAAACGGAGACGAAGACGAAGACGAAGACAAAGCCAAAGACAAAGAGTCAAGACAAACACAAAGACGGCAACGACGATAACGACGACGACAGCAGCAGGCAACCCCAACAAGGACAACCATAATCACCAAACCACATATACCTAATTGCATATCACGAATCTCTCCCCAACGTCTGGTCTCAATTGAATAGACACTCGCTCATCTCGTCTGCCTTGATCATGTATCTCACCCAATGTAACATTGGATCCTGGAAATCCCACCGGGAGACGGGCGGGGACGGCATCAATAAGACCATGATCCCTACTCGAATGCAGCAACACCACTGGCTGGTGGCGCTCACCGACCACCGCTCGCACGTGTGCAGGTCAATCTTCCTTCACGCTCTCTGGCATATGGGGATGGTGGGCAATCACCAGATTTGCCCCCCCCCCCCTTCTTGGCCTGTCACCGTACACCGCATGACCCTGCTTGGGGCTCTTTCTGGATTTCTTTCTTGATCGTCGTCATTGTCACTGTCGCTGTCGCTGTCGCTGTCGCTGTCGCTGTCGCTGTCACGCTTGTCGTTCTTGCCAAGTATCTGTCTGATCGAGGCCTGCGAGTGGCCATATCAAAGTCCTATTTTGGCATCCTCGTCCGACAAAAAGTGCCGTCCCTGACTGATGTTTCGACTCCACTGCTGGCGAGGAACCCCTGCGTCATCTACGGAGCAGATGTGTAGATCCAGGATTGTGGCACGGAGCAGACAGGTATCCTTCCGTTCTCTGTCGGTCCTCTGGGGCACGCACTGACATGTTCGTCTCGCAGAGTCACATCAACAAGCGACCCATTTACACGCGGAGCCGTCAAAGGTTGCAGTACGACAAGTGCATTTCGCGCAAACAGATCCGAGCAAAGCGCCGTGGATTAGTGAACTCCCGCCCTGCCTTGCTAAAGCCATCATTAACTTTCTTTTTTTTAAAAAAAAAAAAAATTTTCCGCCTGTCTTTGAGAGGGCGGAAAAAGAAAGATATGTTCGTGCATCTCGATCCCTGTTCCCGAAGAGGATTGATTGCTAAATCACCTAGCCCAGTGTGTAGTTTTAAGCGTGGCGGACATCCTCTCCGACTACCTGCCCACCATGGTAGGATACATATTAGTAGCACCGGGGTCGTAACGTAACTTGCTACAAGGTGATTAGTTTCTCAGCACAGTCGAGAAAAGACCGCTAGCGGGGGTCATCATGTCGGGTTCAAGGGTCTACTGAAATGAACTATTGGAATTTTGCCATTTTTTTTTAGAAGTTTTCTACTTGTCCTCTATTTTTGGCGCCTTGGGAATGTCAGTCGCTCTAGTCTTGGATGGCATCATCTGTGACGGCCGCGACTTCGCGGTGTACATCCTGAAGGACCTCGTCCATCTCGTCGTCTGTTGCCTCCAGGCCTTCCGAGCTCATGAGCTTGGTATCCCTTTCCAGACCTGCACCGACGAGGAAGCAGAATGTTAGTGGAATGACACAGACTTGACGGCGTTGGATGTGACGCTCAGGCTGTGCACAACAAGACTTGGCAGTGCAAACAGGAACAAGCGCCAGGGCCGTCTGAGGAAGAAGGGCACTTACTTCGTGGTTCTACCATCAAGTTCTCTTGCACCTCGCAATCGGTCAGCACGGAGTAGTCTCCGATGACACACCTCTTGCCCAGGATACACTTTATCAACTTGCATCCCTTCCCAACCACCACTCCGTCCATCAACAGACACTGCAACAGCTTGGCTCCTTCGTTGATCTGACAGTTGGCTCCAACGACGGATGCCTTGATGGCCGCCTTATCCTCCACAGTCACGTTGTCGGCAATCAGGCTGTCCTGTTTGCTAATCATTGTCAGTGACTTGACTCCCTTGGGGTATGCCACCTTTCTTGCGTGCGCAAAGGGCGACGCTGCCGAAGCCCCGACTTCTTCGACCGACTCGAGCTTGGCGAGTTGGAGGGATACGGCCAGCAGGAGCTGTGCCGTGTCAACGCGGCGGATGATGGGGGGCTTGTCTTGTCCCTCGCCCGAGTGAATGTATGCGACGACCGGCGGGATACTCTGCTTTGCTTGTGGATTTGTACCTTTGTGTTGAATGGTGGACTGGGTACCGCTTGGTCCTCGTGTGGACGGCATTCCTGCGCCTTCTGAATCATGTGGTTGCGAGGCGAAGCTCTCCGAAGTGGAATGGCCGTCATCTTCAGAGTTGCCCACGTCGCAAACCGTCGTCATGTGCAGCTTGTCTGCCAGTCCGGCCTGCCATCCGGCTTTGGCCCACCAGCCGAGCACGTCCTCACCGATGCTATGCAATCCTTCATTCTCCTTGATAAAGTCCAGCGTCCACCGGGGGAAAATGTAAATGTGTGCGTCTCGGTGAGTGGTCAGCATCCGGATGCGGGGGTGCGCCCTCAGCAACCCGTGCCGGACTGGCAGCGACTTCTTCTCCTCTGTGATGTCGTTCAACGAGTCCGTGGGCATCGAGTAAACTAGCTTCGAGAGCTTGGGGAAAATTGATCCCCTTTGTGTGCCCGGCTGCCAGGAAGGAAGGGGTGAGGTGGCGATGAAGTCGGTTTCTTCGCCTTCAACAACCGTACCTGACATCGTGTTGTACCAAACTCCAAGCCCGCCACTGTGACGACTTTGGTGGCCCGTTGTGCAGTTTCCATCTCCTAGCAGATCGGTCAAGCTCGCAGACTTGACCATCCATGCTTGAAGGAGCTTGTCTCCGCCCAGTTCACAGACAAGATCGCAAGGCAGAACGACAAAGTCCGACCTGATGAGGTTGCGAACTTCGGGGAGGCGAAGGATGTCCGCGGTTCCCGTGTTGTAGTCCAGGTCAGCCGGTGCGAGGATGTCTGGTCTAGGGAGAGGTAGGCTAGTGAGAAAAGGGTTCATGCTGAATGCTGAACCCACGGCTTTGGACGCTGATGGAGGGCATATCAGGGTGATGTCTGCGACACATTAGCTTTGTCCATCCCCTTGTGTATACATGTGGTATATTTCTATAGAAGAGACTACAGGTTGGTGCAGGCACGTGTGCGCACATTGGCGTGTACGCTTTTGCGATACACTTGGCTGTGGCAGAGAAAGACAAGGGCCCGTGACGATGACCTACGTGAGATGCCCATGCGGCGACAAAAGTCAATGGGATACCACACCATCGGCCGATTGGCAATGGGCAGAATAGCTTTGGGGTTCTCATCGGGATTTGACGTGAATGTCGGAAATGATGATCCCGGTCCGCAAAGGATGAGTGCTTGCAACCCTGGTGAGGGCATCGACATGGCGTGGGGCATTTTGACAGCTGCCCTGGCCGGTGCGAGGCCGGTTGGTGCGCCGTCTGGAACACAGCCTGTTGAACAGGTAGTAGACTCGATTGGATTGTTGTATCTGGGCTTCGGGGAGGGATTCCACCTTGATCGTGACCGGAAGCTTGATGTGTTCAAGAACGCTCTTCAAAAAGAGTCGGCCTCGCAAAATTATTGTTGGCTGTGGGAAGTTGGAACGGGGGGAGGTGTGGCTGGGTGTGGCTGGGTGTGGCTGATTGCCATCTACAGAGCAACAACGCGGTGCAGGATCTTTGGTGGTCCCGCTTTCCGGGGTCGTACCTCGGGCCAACCCAAGCGTTGCTGGGCACGGAGGAGCCACGCTCCACTCCATTGTTGACATTAGACAAGATGGCCGTGTCCCAGTTATCAAGGTCCGCATCCTCAATTTGCGACATCATCATTCCAGCCAACTCCCCCCCCCTCGAACACCGCCCGGGTCGATTGAGTCTGAAAGCCCGCCCTTGTCCTCGGTTGCCAGTCTGCTGGCGATGCGATACCACTCATTGACATAAATGTCTCCGGATCGATACGACCGTGGATCCTCCCGGCGCGGTGTCTGGAGCCACTGGGTGCCACTTGCCATAACCCTCACCGTCGCGACCGCTGGGATAGCTGCCTGGGTATGGAGCCAGCACAAGGAGGACGAGGAGGACAATGCCTTTGACCACGAGCCGGGCTTGGATTATGAGAATGCTGATTACGGGGACAACCCTCCTTACGGTGCTTCGATCCGCGATCCGCGAGGGCCAGAGCAACCCCCTCGACAGTATCAACAAGGCGATGATGCCGCAGCCTATGGGGTAGCTACAGCTCCCAGTGATACTTCTGCGGCGGGATGGGGAGCACGCATGTCGGGCGCATTGAGGAGGACGCCCAGTCCTCAACGATTCTTCGACTCAACGGGCAAGACGGTTGCTGCTGGCATGGCTGCCGCTGGCGCTGCTGTCGGCAAGGCCCTTGCTTCCATCCGCGAAGAGGATAAAGCGTACGGGGAGAATCCGTGGCAGGAGGAAGCCGATGCGAAGAAGGGCCGGGCTCCTGTCACCGGAGACAAGGGCCGGAAGACGGTCGCTGTCGTCGTGTCGGCTGATACAAAGATCTCTGACGTGTCTGGTGATGGAACGCACGAGCTGGCTGTAAGCTGACTCAACTGGATTCCCTATCAGCAACATTCGGACCAGGCTAACGGTTCATGGCAGTCAATTCTGTCCCACATTCCACGTCATAACGACTTTTCAAAAATCAAGTTGTACATCTTGATATATGTACCGAATCTGGAGGAGTCCATGTTGGATGGTACTTCTAGTAACCTCCCGCCGCCTTCGTTGAGCTCGTCATTTTCTAACATTGGTCACGATCAAGCCCAGACCCCCGGTGAAGAGACCAAGAGCCCTCTGTATGCACGCTTTTGCACAATTCGCCGTTTGATTTTTTTCTGCACTGTTGCTAACGGCGTCGAAACAGAAGCCTCCCATCGAGTTCAAACGCGGCCTACCATGCGATCTATTCCCAGGCTCTTAGCCTCGTGGAAAAGGAGACGACAATCCTGCCCTTCACCACGCCCAGTGGTCACGTTTATATTCTACGTCACGTTCAACCAGATATCCTGTACCTTCAGGAGTCTTTGAGCGGTGACAATGGCAGCATCATCACCACGCTCCAAACCTGGCTGCGACACGACATTATTCTAGTGGTTGGCGCCGAGAGTGGTTCTGGAGGCCTGGCAGACAGTGAGTCGGAGGCTGAGAAGACGGGGAAGCAGCTGGAGAAGTGGTGGCAAAGACCTGAACGAGTCGGACGCGGGCGTGGAGTCGTGGTGGTTGATGGCATGCGGGTACATGATGATTGGGCTCGAAGGGTCCAGGGTAGGGAGTGACGTGTAGGACGATTATTACATGGAGACATAAGATGTGTAGTTTACGTACATGGGATGGTCTATTTTTCTTCCTTTATCTTGAAGCTGTAAATTGATAATATCTGTAGTCCTGCATATCTCGTCATCACACTCTATTCAAGTTTTGTTTTGGAGCTTTGCTTTGCAACTCGATTCTTTTTTTCCCTCTTTCATCAACTTCTTTGTCTGTCCATCTGCACACAAGCCATGAACGGAACTTTGATTAGAAGTGAGGGAAAAGAGCTCGGACCAGGATCGTCACGTGATGTCCGATTGTGCGTGAGACCCACGGGCCTTGGCAGGCCAAACGCAACTTCACTGATCATTAGCCTGGCATCAACAGGGTGCGAAGCGCCGCGCCAGTGTCACTCATTAACCACGTGGTATCTGCGAAGTATTGTTTCTGCTTGATGACATCTCATGGATCATTTTGGGGCCCTTTCTTGAGTTCCCCTGCCGCGCAGCACGGCCAAACTCATCCCAACTCTCTGCCCGCAAATATCGACGTCTCCGCAATTCACTAGCGCAGTACTACGACCTCTCGACATCAGCCAACACCTCTGCTCCCGAGTCGCAACACCTTTGACCCGACAAACGCGGAACACAACTCGAATCAAGGTCATCGATGACCGCACACTGGGCCCCCGAAGCACGATTCGACCACAGCTGCCACAGTCGCTGAGCGCGGGTAGGCTGCTCTCAGCCGTGGACGCATTCGCGAGCCACCATGGCGCCCACGAGCCCCGTCATTCAACAGAATGGCGCGGCCAAGATAAAGCGACCAGTTCCGCCTGGCATTCAAACCAACGGGATCTCATCGTCAAATTCGTCTCCATCGCCTTCCATGTCGGCAAAGAAACCGCCCACGAGCGCGAAGCAAACTCCGAACTCGGCCTGCGACCGCTCCCTCACTACCTCCACCCTTCGCACGGTCAATCGGGCGCGCCGCGAGACCTCATCTCAGGCGGCCGGTAGGAACTCGAGAAACAGCGCCGGAATGCGTACCGGCTCATTTTCTGCAGATGCTGGTGCCAAGGATGGCGGTCCTCTTCCATACGGTATGAATTGAATCCCCCTGTCTGCGAACGCCGGGCTGTCACTAACAGGGCATCTCCATCATTAGTTGTTACCTCCCGGTACATCTTGAACAAACACGCCGGGAACCCTCCATCCTTGGTTGTCCATCTGCACGCGACAAATTTTCGATTCGATGGGCAAGATGGAATGTTTCCCTATAAATCGCCAATGGGAAAATTCATCGAGCACATCAAAGCGCGCACGCTTCCGCACGATATCCTGGAGTATCTGGTCGAGGCAAACGTACCATTTTACGACGGATGTCTTATCGTTCAAATTCACGATCACAAATCCCTTGCCCAAACGACAAAGGCTGTCACCAAATCCTCACCGACGTCCAACGCCGTCGTGCCTTCGTCGATTCACAACTACAACCAGTATTTAACGCCCTCGCCCTACGTTCCCTTCCCGAAGGAAGAACAAGGGGCAGAAAATGGTGTTTCCAACAAGGACATTGACAGTGTAAAGGAGTCGCCAGAAGATGAACAAGACCAGGAGAGCGTGACTGCTCCAGTACAGCCAGCGGAGTCCACGGTAAACAAGGAACCCGCGAAGCCCAAGATTTTCACCGTCGTCTTGCATCCCACCCCTGAGTCTCTACAGGTTGATCTCAGGATCAAGGCTACCACGCCAAGAGGCAGCGGCAAGGGTGTTAATGACACTCCATCACTTGCACCGCCATCAACCCCATTGTCCTTGGTTCCGCCGACGCCGACGGCAAGTAGCATGCCACCTCCGGCGAATAAGCGCCAAAAGAGGGAGAAGATAGAACTGGACAGCAGCAACATATATGCGGTAGAAGGTCAAATTCTCTTGGCAACAACTCCGCCACTGATACTGGAGCCAACACGGAACGCGGAAGAGACCATTCTTTTATTGGAGGCAATGGCACATCCCAAGCACTCTGAACCTCCACCCCAACCAAAGACGCGAAAGAGGACTGTTGCTGAAATGGCTGCCGACGAGGCCGCCGCTGCCGATCTGGAACGATACATGCTTGTATTAGATGACAGGCTGTCTGGAAATGCTTCTGGAGCGCCGGGCGCCGCCGCCGCCGATGGTGAAGGCCAGTCAAATGTAACGACATTCGAGCCTAGATTCGAGAGATTCAAGGTCATCGAGGACATCAAGCGAGATCATGCCGAGAAGAAGGAACAAGAGAAGATCAAACAACAAGAGAACGACCGGCGCTTACAGCTCCAGAGGCAGGAGCAGTTGTTACAGGCTCAGCGCCAACAAGCGGAAGCCGAACGACAAAGGCGCGAGGCTGCTATCCGGGAAAACCAGATGCGACAAGAAGCCCAACGACAACAGTTGGCAGCACGCACTGCTGCTGCGGCTGCGGCTCAGAGCCAGCAGCAGCAGCAACAACAACAAAACCAACAGACGGCTCAGCAGCAACAGCAGAAACAGCAGCAGCAGCAGAAGCCGCAGCCGCAGCAACAGCCGCCTCAACAACCACAGCAGCCTCAGCCTCAGCCTCAGCCCCAAAGCCAGCAGACGACACAGCATGCTCACCCTGCTCAAAATGCCATTGCTGGCAACATTGCCACCGGGGTCCCTACTGGCGGACAAAATGCTATGGCTAACAATATGCAAGGAGCTGCTCAACCTCGCTTCCCGGCTCAAATGTCTCAAGCCGCAGCCGCTTCGTCGCCTGTGATTCGGCAAGGAACACCGCAGAATATGTCCTCGCCGATGGTCGGTGGTGTGCCTATGCAACAGACCAACTCCAACATGGCGACCAGCCCTCCTCGGCCCCCGTCTGCCGTTCAAAACGGGCAGATGTCGGTACCCATGGCACATAACATGTCCGCTAGAGGCAGTCAACAAAGTCATCCCTCGGGCACTCCTCGTATGCCCAACTCGACGCCCAACATGCCTCACGGCACACCAATTAACCGGCAAACTATGGCAGCTACCCCACGGATGACACAGGCTAGCCCGCCTCCCAACATGATGGCACAGAATTCTCAGATGGGCCAGGCTATGATGATGAATCAACAGAGCATGAACCAACACAATCCGCAGATCGTTGCGCAAATGGCAGCACAGCAGAGGGCCATTGCATCACAGCAGCAGATGGCGGCTATGCAAAACGGGGGTGCCAACCCGGGCATGAACACACAAGCAATGACGCCCCAGCCACAGCAAGTGATGCAGATGATGCAGCGGCAGCTGATGTTGCAACAGCAGCAGCAGCAGCAGCAGCAGCAGCAGCAACATCAGCAACAACAGCAGCAAGGAGGCATCATGACACCCGAGCAGCAGCAGCTTGCCCAGCAGTATGCGCAAATGCAGCAGAATATGCAAGGCAACCAGCTGAGGCAGATGCCAGCGCAGATGCAGGCACAGCTACAGCACATGGCGCGAATGGGACAGATGGGCAACCCGATGCAGAGACAGGTTAGCGGACAGATGATGAACGGTAGCAACGCAAATATGCAAGCGTTCGCTGCTATGCAAATGCAACAACAACAGCAGCAGCAGCAGCAGCAGCAGCAGCAAGCGCAGCAACAACACCAACAACCCCATCCGCACCAGCAGGGCCAGCCTCAACAACAGCAAATGGGTGCCAACCCCTTCCAACAGCAGATACAACTCAATGCTCGGCAAATATATGCCCGCTTGATGCAGGGCGCCATCGTCAAATTCGGCGGCGCTGACAACGTGCCACAGGATGCGCTTGATAAGATGAAGCATACTTCCTTGGTGCAAGCGCAGCAAATGCTTCATCAAAGCATGGTACAACGGCGAGCACAACAGCAGCAAATGACGATGCAGCAACAGCAGCAACAAGCTGCGATGCAGGGAATGGGTGGCATGATGGGACACCCAGGCATGTAGAACATTGCGCAAGAGTTGCTGAAAGACATGCGGTCAACGACGGATAATGTGATGGGATTGGAACGGAAAAGAAACTCCCGGCGGACTCTCTGTGCATTTTTTCGACAAGAACGGGAATGGGTACCGGAGTTTATGGTGCAGCCGGTATCGCGCTATTTCCTTTCCTTTTTCTTTCCTTCTTTCTTTCTTTTCATGTCACCTGTTTTGCTGTCTTTCACAGAATTGGGCGCGGACTTTGAATACCCCACGGAATTTATTTGAGGATTTGTTCAATATACTGAAAGGACGAACAGAACAATGGGCGCGGGCGGATGACCACCACATGGATTTGAGAATGGCAGCACAGCTTTCGTGCTAGCCCCGGCATGGCGTTACCTGGCTTCACCTGGATGGTGGAGATATCTCTTGTACATTATACACTTGTTAGAATATGAATCATGGCTACGGAGGTGTTGGTGTTGGTATTTTGATGTAGTCAAATCATAAATGTTTGGTCCTCACAGGATACAGCGGCTCCAATCGCGAGGTGGGTCACGTGCGCGCAGTCTCCACATGGGGACAGAAATGTCCGTCATGACACAACCGCTCATCAGGGCACCGAGGCCCAAGAGGGAAGCTTCGGAGGCATCTGAACTCTGGAGCCACCCCGTCGACCAACGTCCAGCAACCCTGGCCTAGATTACGACTCGACCTGACATATTTCATCCCGTCTTCACAGGGGAGCAGACGGTGCATTCTCATCTCTCTTTCACTGTTCGGGTTGAACTTTGCATTGCGGCGCCGGCTCCAGCGCCCAAGTCGTCCCCTTTTCCCGTCTTCCCTGTCCCATCGGCATCCTCGCCATAGTCGCCACGCTCGTCGCTATCCTCGTCGCCTCGTCAGCTCGAAACTGCAATCCATCAACAACCAGTTCCGATGCATTCGCCACAGATGTCGGCGGTCTTACTGCCTTTGCTGCTGGCACCTCTGTCTAGCATGGCCATGTTACACTGCGAGAATATTCTCATCAACGGATATAAATTCAACCTAGAGAAGCTCAAGGGCCCGCATTCTGTCGTCACGTCCAAGTACGACTCGACGACGCACACGCATCACAACACAACCTATACACTGGATGTGTGCCAGCCACTGAAGAAGAGTGGCAAGAGCAAATCCAAGGAAGAGTGCCCCAATGGTACCAGAGGTCCGTCAACGCTAGAGCTCCTTGTTGGCGCCGACCTCGGCAGGCACAAGAGGCCGTCGTTGTCGGGCGTGATTGCTGACCAGTCCGCGGTGCAGTGTGCGCTATTTCGCGGTTCATCCAAGACGACGTCGACAAGGTCGAATCAGTCACCGCCATTGCCGGCAGTCTGGAGAATGTGGGCGGATCCCAGTTCGAGTACGAAGCGACGAGGCTGAATGGGAGCGACTCGAACAGCGACTCGAAGAAGGAGGGCCTGCGACTGGTGCTCAAAGGCGGCAAGCACCCTCTAAACGGACCTGTCAAGGAGCGCCGCCAGCAGAAGGCCGTCGTCGAGTTTCTCTGCGACCCGGACAAGGAGGGCACCGAGGGCGAGTGGGAGTCGGAGGACAAGTACTCCAAGCTTCGTCGCCGCGACGACAAGGAGGGCGACGGTGGCAAAGACGAGTCCTACTCGGAGCACCAGCTGAAATCTGACAATGCTGCGCTGCTGTGGGAGAGTTACGGACCAGAACAGGATGCCGATGTCCTGCGACTTGGCTGGCACACCAAGTACGCGTGCGAGAAGCGAGATGGAAACGACGACGGCAACAACAAGGGTGACGGCGGGGGCAGCAGTACTTCGTGGGGCTTCTTCACCTGGCTTGTCATAATGTGAGTGGTTTCCAACCGTGGCTTTAGGTTTTCCCCCTACTGGTCGTCTGCTGACGATGCGTGCAGCGCTTTCTTGGGCATCGCTGCGTATCTCATCTTTGGCTCCTGGCTCAACTACAACCGCTATGGTGCTCGGGGTTGGGATCTACTCCCGCATGGTGACACCATCCGTGACATCCCGTATCTGCTGAAGGACTGGACGAGACGCGTGCTGAACACGGTCCAGGGCACGGGGAGCCGCGGAGGGTACAGCGCCGTCTAGGAGGTTTCGTTGGACACTTTAGAGAGGGGGTAGAAATGGGATAAATCCATCGAGCTTGCGGGAACGCCCGAGTCGAGAGCGGGCTTCCTGTGACTGGGCGGCGTTTTTTTTTTTCTTTTTCTTTTTTTCCTTTGTTTGGGAGCACATTGGGAGAATTGCTTCGCGTCAGTGTACAGATAATGCCACGGGAACATGAAGGATGCCAGACTCGTGTGGGATGCTAGCAGACTGCTGTGTCGGGGCGGGCTTGTCGACGGTAGGATTGAGGAAGCACGCGTTAGCAACATTTTGTATACCAAGAAGCTCGTAGATGGACCTTGCCTTTTGGGCTGGTAAAGTATGAATACAACATGGTTATCGCGGACCGTGGGTCGTGACTCGTCACACAGAAGCACCTCGTTCGAGCCTCGCCTCGTACGCAGCCCGTCTTTTCAACAGCCATTCTGGGTGCGTGGCAAATAAAATAAATCAAGCATCGTGGTGATGGGCTCGCATTCCGCGGAAAGGTACTGCTTCCTACCATCACGCACGTCTACAGAGAATCTGCATCACGCAACATGTCACATCAAGTAGGATGGATGCTGCACAGCGAAACCGGAGGGCCGTTATCGATAAGCGCGCAATTAATTAAACGTCAACGCCCCGGCGGCCACCGCAACCGTTACCGATTTCAACCTTCGACCCTGTTGTCTTTCTCTCCCCCATGTCGAAAATGGCAATGAGACTTCCCGTCCGACCGTTCACCCTCACGACGAGGATACGGGCCGTGCGCTTCACGTCCACGGCGTCCAACCTCTCCGACGCTGTGAAGAAGACCATCACCGTGAGTCGTCCATCCATCGACCTCCCCCATCGCCGTATTACTTTATAGCCCTTTGTGTCTTGCGAGAGAGAGATGTGTGTGTGTGTGTGAGAGAGAGAGAGAGAGAGAGAGAGAGAGAGAGAGAGAGGCTAACTGGGCGCCGGGGTGAAACGATCAGAGAGACGCAGGGCTTCCCAATCCCGACCCGGGCGCCGACTCGCCGTCGGCCGCGCTCGTCAACGACCACGCCGCCTACATGGTGGCGACGTACGCGCGGCCGCCGCCCGTGTTCGTCCAGGGCGAGGGCTCGTGGCTGTGGGACATTGAGAACAGGAAGTATCTCGACTTCACGGCCGGCATAGCCGTCACGTCGCTGGGCCACGGCGACGCCGAGTTTACGCGGCTCCTAACGCAGCAGGTTGGTTTCCTCTCCTTCCCGCGAGGAGAGTTGGGCACGGTCGGCGTTGGCGTTGGCGTTGCTGACGGGCGGTCCAGGCCAAGACGCTGATGCACGCGTCAAACTTGTACTATAATCCGTGGACGGGCGCGCTGTCCAAGCTCCTGGTCGAGAAGACGCGGTCGTCGGGGGGCATGCACGACGCCGCGAGGGTGTTTGTGTGCAACTCGGGCAGCGAGGCCAACGAGGCGGCTGTCAAGTTTGCCCGCAAGACGGGCAAGGTGGTGGACCCGGCGGGCGGCAAGACGGACGTGGTGTCGTTCAGTGGCGCCTTTCACGGGCGCACCATGGGCGCGCTGTCGGCGACGCATAACCCCAAGTATCAGGAGCCCTTTGCGCCCATGGTGCCGGGCTTTGTGGAGGGCAGGTTCAACGACGTCGGGGGCATCCGGGACCTGGTTACGGAGAGGACCTGCGGCGTGATAGTCGAGCCGATACAGGGCGAGGGCGGCGTCGTGGCCGCCGAGGAGGGCTTTCTCGTCGCGCTGGCCAGGAGGTGTCGCGAGGTCCGGGCCGTGCTTATCTACGACGAGATCCAGTGCGGCATGGGGAGGACGGGCTCTCTCTGGGCGCACGGCGGCCTGCCCCGGGACGCGCACCCGGATGTCGTGACGAGCGCCAAGGCGCTGGGGAACGGGTTCCCCGTCGGTGCCGTGGTGGTCAACGACTTTGTGGGCGACAAGATCAATGTTGGCGATCATGGGACCACGTTTGGCGGCAATCCCCTGGCGTGTCGGCTGGCGCATTACCTCGTCGAGAGGCTTTCTGACCCCGTGCTGCAGCAGGGGGTTCTCGAGAAGTCGGAGCTGTTCAGGGATGGGTTTGCCAGGCTGAAGAAGAGGTTTCCGCAGCTGGTCACCGAAGTCAGGGGTCGCGGACTGATTCTGGGCTTGCAGTTGACCGAGGATCCCGGTGCCATTGTCAAGGCCGCCAGGGAGAGGGGGCTGTTGGTCATTACGGCGGGGACGAACACTTTGCGATTTGTGCCGAGCCTGGTGGTTACCGGTGAGGAGATTGCGCAGGGCTTGCAGATCTTGGAGGACGCCATTGCTGCGACGAGGTAGGCGTCGTGTCACGAATCACGACAGATAGGTCGGCGTCCTTTGCCACGTGGAAATATGTTCTTGAGCGGTAATTTGCAATGGCCTTCTGGCTGGCGCGCCTCCCTGTGAGTCCTGATGAGTTGGTGGCTTCGGACCTGGGCGCCTGTGAACATGACTACGGTTGACAGCTATTTGAATGTCTGTACAAACTGGCCGGACATGGACCGTTCATGATTGGGTCCGACATATTGCGGCATCGTGAGAGGGCCGGGGTCACCTTGACACCGGACGAGCCTACACATATTCTTGCTCTAATGGCATGCGTTGGTTGAACAAATTCTTCTACTAATTGACATCAGGTCAGGCATATTCGTTGATTTAACAAGCCGCGTGGGTCTTGCCAGTCTTGCCCTGGAGAGAATGCCTATCATCCTACAAGTTGTCAGCGACGATTTCCCACACACAAGAGCGATGGCGATAGAAGGGGAGGGAGAGACCAATGACGAGACGTACTTTGAAATTCTGAGGCGTGTGAATAGACTCTTGAGCCCGTCCAGAGGACATCAAATGCGTCCTGATGTAATTTTCCTGTCGCTTAATCGTCTCGCGATCCATGTCCTCCAACACATTGAGGCAGAGCTTGATGTCATGGATCAGTACATCGCATCTGCTGCGGGAAAAGTCTTCTCGAACGACAACACGCAGCATCTTCATCTTGTTCGTGTTGGGCGCCATGGTGTACGCGGGGACAACCCATCCTCGGGATCGGAGTTGATGAGCCAGCGCAAATTCGTCATAGTGGCGATCTTCACTTCTATCTATATCGGGTTCTGGGAAACGAAAAGCGACAAGGGGGAGACCCTCTCCCGAACGCTTAGACATGATGATAAAGCCAAGCTTCTCAAGGGAGTCGCTGAGATAGTCGGCTGTGCGGGTCAAGTTGCTCATGATGGCGCGGTAGCCTTGCTTCCCAAGACGTATTAGCTGGTAATACTGTCCTATGATTTGGGATGCTCCCTTGGAAAAGTTTAGGGTAAAGGATGACTGCTGGGCTCCAAGGTAATCGATGTTGAAGACGAGGTTCTGGGGGAGATATTCGGGGGCTCGCCAGATGGCCCAACCGACACCAGGGTAGACCAGACCATACTACCGATGTGTTAGAGAGTCACGGGGAGAAGAAGAAAAAAAACCTCTGGTGGGTGAACAGGGTCTGTCGGCATACCTTGTGGCCGGAGACGTTAATAGAGACGACCTTCTCGCATCTAAAGTCCCACTCCAAGTCAGGCACGACAAATGGAGCGACAAAACCGCCGCTGGCAGCATCCACGTGGATAGGAACATCGACGTTCTTCTCAATCAGCAGGTCGTTCACAGCCTTGACGTCTTCATAGTCACCAGTGTACGTAGTGCCCAAGATGAGAACACAGCCAATTGTGTTCTCGTCACACTTGGCCACCATCTCCTCGGGATCAATGACAAAGCGTGTCGGAGTGCAGTTGATAAACTTCTCCTCAATCTCGAAATAGCAGGTAGCCTTCTCCCAGCACACCTGGACGGCGGATGACATGATGAGGTTGGGGCGTTCAGTACTCTTGCCTTGGGCCTGGCGGCGAATCTTCCAGCAACGCTTCATGGCCAACACGGCCAGCATGATGGCTTCGGAGGAGCCGACAGAGGATGTACCAATGGCACTGCCACTGGGAGCATGGAACAAATCGCCTATCATGTTGACGCATCGGTTTTGAATGTCAGCCGACTGGGGATATTCCTCGTAATCGATGAAGTTCTTGGAGAGGGAGTGAGCCATCAATTTCTCGGCCTCATCCTCCTATTCGCTAGTTAGAACCTGCCGCATTGTTTGTGCGAGGAGTTGGTGCCGCCGAGCCAGACCATATAAGTAGTGACAAAAGACGCCAGACTGCTGATGTTAGAATAATGCCGACATACTGCGCAGAGCTGCAATGCCCAACATACTTGAGCTTGGGATTGTTATCCAAGCTGAGATGGTCCTTGATCATTCTATAAGCAATCTCGCGGGGCATCGTACGCTCTGGCATGGTGAGCTGGGGTAGTTCCTGTTCTGCGAAGCGGGAGCCGTAGACGCTCGTGGCGAAGCCATCTTCGTCAGACGACAAGTTCAAAATACAACGGGCCTTTTCAGCCAGATGGGAAACCTCGTCCTTGGCAGCGCTTGCAGCGCCGTTGCCGTCGTCATCCCTATGAATGGCACTGAGATGGACCATGGTGATGTGGGGTAGATCGGTGCTGGGGGTTGGACAAAAGCATCAAAGACGGAGTTCAACGGGAGCTAAATGATGTCACAAAGCTGTGGAAGATGCAAGATGCTAGATTGGCAAGATGAAGAGACTAGAAGAGGGACGTGGGACGTCTTATAGCTCTGGGGTGTATGAGCAACTAGGCGCTCAATCGCTCGACGTTACGGATACACAGTGCAACCAGACCTATTGCGGCCAATGTGCAAAACAATGAAAATGGCGCCAGCAACGGAGCTGCGTTCATCATCCGTCTTTGTCCTGGTTCGACGTTAGCTCCTGGCACGGAGTACTACGTAGTAGCCAGGCCAGGGGCCAAGCCGCCACACCATGTTGGCGCCTCGGATCTGACGGCTCACCTCAGGGCGGCGAAACGTAGGCCTGGAGAGTGCCACGCCTATGAGCGGCCAATAATTCGCCAACCGCAGCTCCAACATCTCTCAGCACCACAACCACTCAAGCTGCGCCAGACAATATGGCCGTGCTTGCCGAGTGGTGCCACCAGGTGATTGTGAAACGCGGTTGTAGTCGGTCGGCAGAACGACCTGGATTGTCTCCTTGTCTAAGCCCTTCGAGCAACATGTTTGTGGTCGAAGCAATCCAACCGCAGTCCATCCCACGGAGGCTTCTTGTCATGGTACTTGACGGGTAAAATTGGGCACGGCCAGAACTAATGCAGAGGAGGTCAAATGGCTGTGAGAATCAACGGGGAATTGGCTTATCAGAAGCTTACATGTCATATTGGTGAGGCACATCTGGCCAAGGCCGAAAAGAGGGCGCATTTTGCTGATGCTTGGTTGACATTTGGGCATCAAGGCTTCGAGTCTCGGGCTTGAGGAGGGAGGGAGGGATTGCATGGAAAGGACGCGACGCCTGCGTCTTCTCTTCCACCGCCTGGCGCCTGGCGCCCGGCTTCATCATGGTCGGCGTACAATTTGGCAGGAGCGACCGGTTGGCATGATGCACACACTCTAGACCGTCTCAAATGCGACGAGAAGAGGGCGACGTTGTACAGATTCCAAGGTTTGTTTGTTATTTGCGATCCTGCGGTCCATCTCAAGATATTTCCCACCGAATTGCTTCCAGACACCTTCTACCAACAAACCATGTGGTGCAAAAAAGTTGAACATTCCGCGGCATGCACGACAACTAGTTGTCCTCTCCTGTTCCCGTCAACCCGCCTGCCAGCCCTTCCATCCTTCTATCCAACAAATCATCTGTGCTCTTTAGTTTGATTAGACTCTTGTTCTTGCTTAATATCTTCTTCCTATGTTTCTGCGCGTCGCCGTTGCCCTTCCCATTCGACACTACTTCTGCCCTTGCCGCCACAGAAGCATTTGAGCCCCGTCCTCTGCTTAGCTTGGTCATGCTTATCTCCAGTGGCTTGTCTTCGTCACCACTCGACTCCGCCAGGTGGTGCTGGTGATGTTGTCGTTGCTGGCTGTGGTATGCCATCTTTTCGATGCGTGAGGGGAGGTGAGGGGGGTGTTGGTTTCTGGTACGGAGGTGCTCTGCTTCCATGAAGAGCTGTTCGAACCAGAGAACGCATCGATCAAAGTGTTTCCAGGCAGGAGGGTATATTCCTGGAAATTGCATGAATCCGTGGGAGACCCCGGGGATGAGGGCGACTTCGGCTGCTTCGGTGTCGTCAAAGGCCCGGTTTTGTTCCCTTGCCACGGCCTCTTTGGCGCGCCGAAGACGTCCGGCAAAGATGACGGTGTCGTCGACGAGCGGATCCCGTTCACCCGTCATAAAGTATGTCTTGGGGAATTTGGCGAGAAGCGATTCAGGCGCAAGGACCGGACTGAGGAGATAGTCTTGTGTAAAGTCGGGTCGATTGTGGGGTCCAATGTAAAGGATAATCATGGCTCGCATCATTTCCGGAGTGAGAACTCGATCGTTAAAGTAGGAAATCATTGAGGATGTTGCAAGACGAGTCTGCATCGGCTGCGAGTGGTGAGACATGCTGTCCGTCTTCTTGGGCTCGTCCCTCGTATTGCTTGGGTTCAAGGACTGGGGGCCAGAGTGAGAGAACTGAGGCTGGCAATCGTGAGTACTTTTGGGCGGGACACAAGCCGGCTCGGGAGGTGTAATTTCGTCGTCGTCGTCCGAGTGATGTGGCGTTCCCACCAGTTGGTTGTATTGCATGCTTTTGCGCCGTGCAATACTTCTATTTGTCTTGCGCAATTTACGGTCTCTAATCAACGACATTTGCTCATCTGTCATCCAGTTTCCGATATTCATATCTAGGGCCGGATAGAAACACACCAAGCCGTCGGGAGCGGGCAGTGCCCCCCGGCCAGCAAATCGCCGAAGGTCGCCGTCACTGGTTTCGGTAATCATCAATGTTGCGGAAACCGCAAGGTTGGCTCCGGCACTATCGCCCGTCAGAATAATTCGAGGCGTCTCGTTGCCCGACATGCCGATACAGCGTCCTTTTGTGTTGATGACGGCATCGTACACGTCAAATATCTCGTTGACGGCGTAGGGATATGGAAATTCCGGGGCCTTCCTGTAGTCCACACTAAGAATAGGCAGCCCAGATTTTGAGGCCCAGGCAAGAAGCTTGTCATCGTTGCATCGCGGGTCCATGGCAACAAAGCCGCCACCGGGAACATCCAACACCAATCTGTTGTGCAGCAGCAGATCGGCTAGTGGCCCGTCGAAATACAACCATGCCAGGATGGGTTCCCTGTAATCACTATTCGAGGGCCGGGGAATCCGGATTTGTCTTGGAGGCCATCTCGTAAACCGAGGCCGCATCAGGCGTTGCAGCACACTCAAATAAGGGGTGGTGCCTTTGTTCCACGCGACGCGGAGGTGTTGGACTGTGATCATACCTCGGACTTTGCGGACCTTCTCGTCGGCGCGTTCTGCCGCCACCAGGTAAAAAAGAGAGAAAAGGATGCTGGCCAAATCCCTGAGCCATTTGACCTTAATCTTCATTGCCGTCCAAAAACCAGCGTCCAGAGCGGTCAGGACCCAGGTGGCGCGGAAGTATGTAGTGTCGTACATGTTGGCCATGGGCTCAGGACTGGCTAGGCCAACAAGGGCGCTGAAGTTTCGAGCAGCATAGAGATAGATGATTGTGAAGGCAGAGATTTGCCATGCCGTGAGACGTTTGGTGAAAAATTTGGAGAGTGCCTGTGCCCCCGGCGGCCCATGTTTGTGTCCTCTGGAGTTGGTGACGTTAGTTCTCGAACGTCGCGTGCGCCATGGGAGGATGTTGACCGCAAATACCTGTACAAATACAAGGACCATAGGGATAGCACGGTCAGAACCTGTAGTCGCCTCGACTTTGACGACGGCCGCCCTAACACGTGGTCTATCATGGTGGTTGTGTGCAGGGCTGATTGGTCAGAGGAGGAGAAAGGTCGACTGATCTTTGCTGTCAAGGTCTGTCTGACATGTGAAAGTCGGCGGCAAGCACAAAATATTGGTTGCGTCAGCCGTCAGCGACCATGCTCATCATGTCGGAGAAGCCTCTGTTGCAATACAGTGTCGAGTTGACGACTTGGACAAAAATAACGAGGAAGCAAATGCGTCGGTGGCGTCGTACATTCAGACCCGAGACAATGGGTCCAAGGGCGTCGTCAATGGAACAGGGGCTCGCAAGTCGTAACCGTGGGGACGCAGCAAAGATATATTAGAAACGGACAACTTGGAGTCTGGGAATGGGGACGGATGAGTGCGGCTGCTGACGTTGTGGAAGCCTTTGCCAGAGCCTAGAGGCTGGCATGTGAAAACTGCGCTCGTGGCTCGGGGCCGGCGGCTGCTGCCAGGGGCCAATCATGTGAGTTATAATGAAGGGTCCAGAGTGCATAGTCCGTACTCTGTACTCCGTACTCCGTGGGGAAGGAAATAGGTGCTTACGTACTTACGGAGTACCAAGTACCCAGGACGAGCGGCTCCCCGCTCCATTCCAGCAATGCCTGCTGTAGCCCCTCCCTGATGCCGCGCCCCCCCACGTGGAGAACGAGACGGCCGACCGGCGACGACAGGCTCAATTGATATTATACAGCGATGTTCGTGCAGCAGAGGCTATAAAGTGCCGCCGACTGGTCAACCGGTCACAGCGGCACAGGGTACTAAGTAAGAGAGCCTACTTAAAGTAGGAATGCCTCTTGCACCAGCGACTGTACCCACTTGAGTGCCTAGGGTACTAAGTAGGTAGCCATGCTCTCTTTTTCCGTCGGATCCGGCTGCAGGAAGCATGGCCCCAGCCACAGGCAACGAATGACGCACAGATGGAAGGCAGGATAGGAAAAGGTAAATGACAAAAAAAAATCAACGTATGTACTGTTCAATGGGGCGGGCCAGGCAAACCTGCCAAAAGTGGGGGCGGCGCTTCCTCTGATTCCGGTCCGTTCGGCCAACCAGGCGGGCCACCCCTCCTCATCGCTTCTACCGTCTCGACTTCGGCCTCCCAACTGTCCCCTTTTCCATCTCGTCGTCTCCAAGCACTCGCGGTTCGCAACCCAAGCGTTGCCTTCCCAATGCCCCATCCCCCCGCACGCAGCTAACAACTGCAGCATTATCATATCGCATCACGCCTGTCGAAAACCCCCCTTTCTTCTCCGCCTCCGGACCATGTCTACGGTCCCCGTCCCCGAACCCCAGCCGACGCTGGCGCCAGCTCTGGCAATCCATAGCTCGGATCCAGCTGCGGCAGGATCCAGCTCGCACGAATCCCCACACGAAACCACCGGGTCAGCGACTATCCATGTGTCGCGAGATGGCGGTTCAGATTCAAGCGATGAGGGAGTCCAAGGAGTTCGAATGAGCCCCGCTGCGGCAAGACGCTTCGCTCGTCGCAACTTGAGGCGGGCCACCGCCACGCCAGATCTTGTCACCAGTCTGGTTAGGCCGCCGTCCCCCGAGGCCTTTTATATTGCCCAAGACGCCCGCGGCCACCCTCGACAGCGCGCAGTCTTGCGTCCGGCTGCCATTTTGTCACAGCCATACGGGCGACGACATTCGAATGCCGCTCGTGAACGCAGGACCGGCCCTCTGTTGGTACCCCACCCGTGCTCTCTCGACATCCCCGTCAAGTATGGTGGTGGCTGCATCTTCGACATGCACACGTTGAACTATGTCTCTGACATCGATCCGAATCTGCTCTGTCCCATATGCCACGACCCGCTCGTCGATCCCGTCACCACGCCCTGCGACCACACATTCTGCTACAGGTGTTTGCGGCGAAGCATAGCATCGAGTCCCTCAGGGACGGCCTGCCCTATTGACCGCGAGCTCCTGCTGTGGGTGGACTGTTTCAGTGCGGCCAGGCTTGTTCGCACCCAGCTCAGCTGCTTGACGGTCAAATGCCCCAACCAGGGGCGAGGCTGCGAAAGTCAGGTGCGACGCGAAAACGTTGAAAAGCACGCCACAGCCGAATGCCGCTTCCGGGAATACTCATGCCCCGATACCACGTGTGATAAAAAGCTACGAAACAAGCCCCAGGATGATGTATGCCACCACAGACAAGTTGGCTGCGGCTTATGCCACGACAAGGTAGAAGAAGCGGACAAAGAGATGCATCTACTCTCGTGCTCACTGGCCAAGACGAGATGTCAATCTTGCTGGCAGCTGGTTTGCCGCTCACAGATGAAATCACACCACGATTTCGAGTGCGACGGGGTCGAAGTTGGCTGCCCCTATCAAGACCTGGGGTGTCCAGTCAGGACAATACGAGGAGAAATCGGGGCGCATTCCTTCACATGCGCTTTTCATCCAGATACGCCATCGGGGATTGTCATTCGGAACCAACAGGAAATCATTCAGTCATATGTCGATCTGGGAAGCCAGCTTCGAGACATGCAGCTTCGCCAAGACGAAACGGCCAAGCGCATCGACGACGTCTTGGCAGACCGACGAACAAAAGGCAACGGGGAAAGCCGCAAGGACGCTATGTACAGTGACAACAGAACCATGCAGGACTTGGATGCTGGCTTCGAAGAAGTCCACCAGAACTTGACCCACCTCGAGGCCAGGCAGAGCATGTGGACACTGAATCAAGTTATGCCGATACGCGAGGAGGTGACGGAGCTACGAAACAACATCAATATGATACGCATGCATGTGAACTGGCTGCTGAATCGGAGCCGCGAAGAAGGACGCATCAGGGCAGCGAATAACACGGGGCCGACAGCGGGGATTCGTCGTGACAGCTCCAGCGATGTACCTCTCGTCTTGTCGGAGAGACGGAGGTCATCTAGTGCCGATATGGATGTGCCTCGCCTGTGATGCGGTATGGAACTGCAACAGAAATGACAAAGAAGCTGTATAATGACATGATACCTATGAGTTGGCAGGCAGGGGAGCATGAAGCAGAAACATCATGTACGAGTATGGAACATGCATAGGAACGAATGCTTGGCGTCAAAATGGAAACGAGGCCATACACGGCGCTGTTTTTACGTCGGCCATCAACAATAAGAGGGGACGTACGACATGGACATGCTAGGTGGAAATCTCGGGAAATGTTGATGATTGCTCGTGGCACGTAATGACAAATCCTATTGCACGTGTAACACGTACATCCTACTCCGTACCGTTGACCAACTTGTCGTTGACCCTTGACGCCATGAGGGCCTGCTAGGAAGCTGGGGCCGAATCAAAGTAAATGTCACGAATAAGCTGTGGCCTAGTTTTGGCCCCGTCAAACTCGGAGCGGACTTTGGCGGACATTTGCGGGAGGGGACAATGTTAGACGACCGCGGATGTTTTTTTCTCGGGGAGTTCTTTTTTTTTTTCCGCCTCGGAGCGAGCTCTATCATGTCCACTGAATATACTGTCAAAGTTTCTATGTGAGAGCTGGCGAGATTCGGGTCGGGGCTCGTCTGGTCTTGGTTGATGTCTGGAGGATAAATGCGCTGCAGATGATGGCCGCGCTTGTTGGTGTCGACTGGGGGCACTTGGGCGCGGATTAGTTGATGTCGCGGGCGGCTCAGGCGGCCCCGCCACCCCACTAGATCTCACTGCTCAGTACTTAACTTGGTAGTCAAGTCAACTGGACTCTCGAAACGTGGGCAGCTTCTCAGGGGGCTCTCTTGGATTCCACAATCATCGGCACCGCGGCTCGACGTCAGCCTTGCGTCTGGTCCTTGAGTCGCCTTCAACTTCTTCAACTTGCAACTTTACTTTCCCATCCACACCTCATCTCCTTCCTCACACACCGAGGGCATTGGACGTCGGCCATCATGGATCCCAACGATCGCCCCCCTCCCAGCGAGCCCGATGATGCCCCAGACAGAGACCATGCAAGTCCTCGCCCTCTCTTTCCATGCTTGCGGTGTCGGTGCTTCGAGATACCGAATCGCCCACCCAAGCATGATGGCTTAAACGACACGCCGGCTAACTGTGTCTGTAGATGCGGGCACGTCGCATTGCCATGCTGGGCAATCTGACACGCAAACCCAGCCAAGACAATAATACCGATAACCCTTCGAATCAACCCGCAGCATCATCCTCGACATCCGCACTGAAACCGCAGACCTCCGAAGCCTCTGCCCACAAACCAAAGATTAACGTGACTTCCATCACAAAACCACAGTCGAGCCAAAATCCGTTTGCCCAACTCGGTATGCAAGACGCCGAGGTAGCTGGAGATGCATCCGCCTCCACAGGTAGTTCCCGTCCTGCTCGCAAACGGTCCGCGCCTGATGTTGACGACGCCGATTCAGCACCGCCCGCTCATAAACAAACTCCAAAGCCAGTGCAGCAGCAGCAGCAGCAGCAGAAGCAGCCCGAGACGGATGAGGAATATGCACATCGGGTGCTGTCACAAATCTTCCGCCTTTCTGTTGATCCTCACCATATGACAGACCCCCAAGGCCAGCGTCTAGTCTTTCTACCGAGTTTGAACCAGGAGCTGAACGATTCTGGCGGCCCTCTGAAGCTATCCATTGGTACTCTTGACCAGGCCATCATAGAGGCCTGTAGCATCTGGGACCCGACGAAACCTCTTCTAGAGTACCTGCTGCCTTGTTGGAAACGAGCTGTCAGGGCGTCCAATACGGCCAAGAATGTTTCAGCTTCCAGACAAGGAATTCTCGACGAGGCCAGGCGGCTTTGCATGAGCAACTGCCTGTTCGCGTTGACTATGCCAGCTCTTTATGGGTTCGTTCCATCATGGCATACGAATCGTGGCCATCGTTTGTCGTGCTTTTGACTGACAATGTGTAGTCGTGACCCAAACCCTCAGCATGATACGCTCGTGCCTTACTTGTTAAAAGGTATCCAGGCCGACGGTGGTCTTTGTGTCGACTTTATCACAGAAGCTATCCAGCGATTTGGCGAGGATGAAGCGTTCCCCGCCCTATTCAATGATGCCATGGTCCAAATTAGCAGCCAACTGTCTACCTTGTCCCTGGGGGACGAGTACAAGCCCCATGTTCAGGTCCGTGCCGTCGGCGGCTGACAAACTAGAGATGTTGCGGCTAACCCATTCCTTAAATTCAGGCTCTCCTCACGTATACGCGATTTCCCGTACTCGTTGCCAATCTTGCCCAACACCCTTCCTTCAACCAGGCACAGTCTGCTGCTGGCATTGAGCGGCACACCATTCTCGGCCCTTTTTTTCGCATCTCCCCCCTTCAACCCGAGGCCATCAAAAGCTACTTCCCCGGCGCCCGCTCTCTTGATAGAGGTAGAATTGCCAATGCCCAGGAGTCTTTACGAATCGTTTTGAGAGCGCACCAGGATGATCTTTTTGTCATTGCCAATGCTTTTATTCGCGCCGGCCCAGACACGAGAAGCAGGACGCTCGACTGGTTCGCATATATATTGAATACAAATCACAAGAGGAGAGCCATGCAAGTTGACCCTCGAGAAGTTGCCTCGGATGGTTTTATGCTCAACGTGGCCACAATCATGGACCGATTTTGCGAGCCTTTCATGGATAACGACTTCAGTAAGGTGGACAAGATTGATGTGCGCTATTTCAGGAGACAGCCCCGAGTCGACATCAAAGATGAGACGAAACTGAACGCAGACCAAGCCACTGCCGACCAATACTACGCAGAAAAGGTCCAAGGAGATTCTAATTTCATTTCGGAGGCCTTTTTTCTCGCCCTGGCGGCCCATCATTATGGAAGCGGGGCGTTGAATTCACAGCTCAAGAATCTGGATCGAGAAATCAAGTACCTGGACAAGCACATCAAGGCCATGGAGGCTGAACGCTCTAAACTCGTCAATATACCCCATCAACTTAGACTGCTCGAAGAAACCCTGAAACGACACACCAATGTCTTGGAAAAAACGATTGCGCTGAAGCATGCCATTGAGGGCGCATTGCTTGACGAGCGAATGCAAAGCACATCGCTTCGCTTCATGCGTTACGTCGCTGTATGGCTATTACGACTTGTCACTGACTCAGATTACAAACCTGGTAAAGAGACTCAACTGATCAGGTACGTCGGGCGAGGCCGTTCAATTTCCCATCGTGCATGCTAATGAGACACTAGGCTACCCCTATCTTCCGACAACTCGGAGGCATTTGCTTGTCTTCCGGAATATGCCCTACAAAACATTGTGGACAATTTCAAGTTCATCTTTAGGTCGGTTCCATGTATTTTTGCCAAGATATCTCAAACCATTAGCTAACGTACGTGCCCAGGTTCCTTCCGAAAATTATTCCCAGTGCCGTCGGCGACGAAATGATTGCCTTGTGCATCACTTTCTTGCGATCATCTGAATTCATCAAGAACCCATATCTCAAGTCCTCACTGGTCTCACTCCTGTTTTCCGGAACCTGGCCATTCATGCACTTGAAGAAGGGAGTCTTTGGCGATCAGCTCATGACGCTGCCTTTTGCCAACGAATACCTGTTGCAGGCCCTGATGAAGTTCTATATAGAATGCGAGTCTACCGGTGCCAACACTGCTTTTTATGACAAATTCAACATCCGATACGAAATTTTCCAGGTCATCAAATGCGTCTGGAGCAATGATGTCTACAAACAGCAGTTGACGCGGGAGAGCAAGTAGGTCCATGGATTCAAGACGACGCCAATGCTTTGATTGGGAACGCGCTAACGATGGTGCAGAACGAACCGCGGTTTCTTTGTTCAATTTGTGAACATGTTACTGAACGATGCTACCTATGTCTTGGACGAGGCCTTCACAAAGTTTCCCAAGATCAGAAGTCTAGAGCGAGAGCTGGAAAACGCTTCTCTGTCGGCTGAAGATCGGCAGAAGAAGGAGGAAGAGCTGCAAACACTCGGCGGACAAGCTACGTCGTACATGCAGTTGGCAAACGAGACGCTGGAGATGATGAAGCTCTTCACCAAAGCGCTGAGCGAGTCGTTTACCATGCCTGAAATTGTCTTTCGCCTAGCAAGCATGTTGAACTACAACTTGGAGACCCTGGCTGGCAAAAAGGCTGCCGCAGAGCTGTCCGTTTCCAACAAGGACAAGTATCATTTTCGGCCCATCCAACTCCTTTCCGACTTTGTCGACATTTATCTCCACCTCGGCTACTCGCACGTATTCGTGAATGCTGTTGCAGCAGACGGGCGATCCTACAAATCCGAAGTCCTTGACCGCGTGACTCGCATCTTGACATCCAAGAACGCAAAGGATCCCTCTGATTTAGCGCAATGGGAGAAGGTAAAGGCGCAATTCGAAGAGGCGAAACACGAACTGGACCAGGCTGAGCTCGACCTGGGCGATATCCCAGCAGAGTTCGAGGACCCCATCATGGGCGACCTGATGAAGGACCCGGTGCTCCTGCCCAGTCGACATATCGTGGATAGATCAACCATTGTGCAGCATTTACTGAGTGACGCCAAGGACCCATTTACACGGCAGCCCATGACGATTGATGATGCCATTCCACAAACGGAATTGAAGCAGAGGATTGTTCAATGGCGAGAGGACAGGGTGAGGATTGCGAAGGAGCAGGCAGTTGCATCAAAGGGTGAGCAAATGGATACCTCGGGGGGTTAGGTTTAGATTCTAGACGACGGGGATTATCGAGATGGGAGCACGATTCACGGCACGATTCTCCAGAGTGCCTCGTCTGCCTGGCCGTCTGATGTTGCCCGAGCCGTGCCGTGGAACAAGGCATCTTGGATGGGCCGCGCTGCTTCTGGCCAAACACCTGGAATTTGTTTCCAGCCATGCGCAGGAGGTGTTTGATTTACATTACACAGAGGGGAACTTGTCGCGTGCCTGCATCCAGCCAGCCCTCTGTCTCACTGCTTGGCGTTGGCCAGAGCTTGCCGAGCGCGCGTATTGAATATTGAAAGACAAGCCAGTTTGGCTACCTCCAGGTAGACAGGTAGCTTTTACTCTTTTCTCTCAAGGCGGGATTGATGCCCAACTTTGCCGCGCCCATCCTGATGTTGCTCCTAGGCCCCCTTTCGAATCGCCCGTCGTCAGTTTTCGAAAAACGCGGTCTCTGAACCCTAACAGTAAGCGCCACTCCCACTCAGTTGCGGACTGTTTGTTGGCTTCCACGTAGCAACCAAGTACGGCAGATCGATCCCTCTGCGCGGACGTGGTAGGGTCAGACGCGCCGTTGATGGCTGTGCCACTGCTTTCCTCGCAGCATGGCATGGCACGAGCGCGGAAGCATGGATCGCCTGCAACCAGTCCTTACGTCGGATGATACTGGAATGTCTGCCGGTGCGGCCGGCTCGGCTCAGTGGTCTCGCCGGGTTGGCAAACCCTCTCAGTCTACACAGGGTCGTCGCACGCGAGACAGACGGGCGGGCTACTCGCAATGCGCAGGCGACTCTAGCTGTCGGAATTAGTTTCGAATGACGAGATCGCTCGGGCGAACTGACGACACGCCATGCTTGGCCCTTCTCGCTGCTCGTCCCGTCCGGGCTGCCCGCATTGGCAGTAGTGTCGGCGTCGCCATGCAAGCCATGTTGTCATCCTTTTGCCCTGCTGTTCGCCACCTGGCCTTTTCCGCGTAGCCGAGAGCAGCGGCGGATGCTTGCGCAGGCGGAGACGGGCTGCTCGACGAGTTGCTGGACGGTGAGCCGTCGTGCCGAAGCAGTCGTGCCCCCCCCCCCCCGCGCTGTCTGGAGGTGATATCTACATGCGTGGGTAATTAAGGGGTTCTTGCGACTTGTTCCTTGAGCGATTTGGAAGCCAAGAGTCGTCGCAGACTTTGCTGGTCAGCACGCGGGAGCAGCCGCCACTGCAAGAGTTGAGTTGAGGCTGATGATGGATCGCCATCCGAATCCCGCAGCTACTCGGTCGTGCCTGTCAACTTCTTTGTGTGGCAGCTTGGTCGTCGTCACCTCCGAGTGGCTAAGAACTCGGAAGTTTGTATACTAAGAGAAAATCAATGACCAAGGCCTAATGTACTCGTGAGTCAGAGACTCAGAACCGACCTAGCCTACTTAAGTACTTGGCCGCCTCGGGGTGAAAGGACGTCTCAGGGTTAGAGTTGATACCCCTCCACCCCCACCTAAACCGCGGCTACCCCATAATTTTTTTTTTTTAATATACTTTTCCTCGAGATTCTTCTCACACTGCACTCTTTCTCGCGACAAATCCAACTACTTTTCCGGGATACGCACTCACTCGTTCCTTTCCATGAGCTCAAAGTCTCCTGTTGTAGGCCTCCTCGGGGGCGGGCAGCTGGGGAGGATGCTCTGCGAAAGTGGGGCCCCCCTGGGTGCGCAGATTGCCGTGCTCGACGTGGAAAACTGCCCAGCCAAGCAGATCAACAACAGCCGCCTTCACGTCACCGGCTCCTTCAAAGATCCCGCCAAGATCAAAGAGCTCGCTGCCAAGTGTGACGTCCTTACGGTCGAGATTGAGCACATCGAAACCGAGGTGCTCGAGGAAATCGACACCAATGGCATACAGATCCGCAACGCCGACGGGACCACCACAACCAGGAAGGTCGCCATCCACCCCTCGTGGAAGACTCTTCGCCTTGTGCAGAACAAGTACGAGCAAAAGGAGTACCTGAGGAGGCAAGGGATTCCAGTTGCTGAGCAGGTCGCAATCCAATCTGGCGACGCCATGCCTGCCTCGATGGAGGCAGCCTCCCAAAAATTCGGCTTTCCCTGGATGCTCAAAGCCCGAAAGGACTCGTATGACGGTCGGGGCAATTTCAAGGTTTCGAGCAGGGCGGATCTGGAGCAGGCGGCCAAGGAATTTGGAAACTTGTCATGTTATGCCGAGAAATGGGTCCCGTTCGAGCTTGAGCTCGCAGTCATGGTCATCCGAACAGAAGACCGTGCCGGCAAGATGAGGCGTGTTATTCCTTATCCTGCTGTCGAGACTGTCCATGAGGATAACATCTGCTCCAAGGTGTTCATGCCTCCTCGGAATGTTTCTGCGGATGTGTGCAGACGGGCGCAGAAGGTTGCGACATCTGTGGTCGAGAAGCTTTGGGGCAGAGGCGTCTTCGCCGTCGAGATGTTCTTGACAAAGGACGGCGACATCATCTTCAACGAATGTGCCCCCCGGCCCCATAACAGCGGCCATGCCTCCATCGAGTCTATCCCGTACATGTAAGTGAACGCCCTCGCTCGCTGGTGCTGGCAGTGTCTTGTCGAGGCTCTGACGAACCCGCAACAGGTCCCAGTTCAAGGCCCAGCTGGCTGCAATTCTTGACGAGCCCCTCCCGGACGTTTTGGAACCGCATGTGTCGTCCAGCATCATGATCAACATTCTGGGCGGCGCGGAGCCGGACTCTCACCTGCCGCTTGTCGAGACAGCCAAGTCCATGTATGGCAACAAGACAGCCGTCTATGTCCACCTCTACGGCAAAGAGTCCAAGCCCAGCCGTAAGATTGGGCACATCACCGTCACTGGTTTCGGTCCCATCGTGGACCTGGAGCAGTTTGCTCGGCCGTTGCTCAGTATGACCGACGTCATCCGCCAGGAACGACTTCGGGCATCACGGAAAGCATTGCGTCCTCGGGCTGCTCCTACGCCGGAACAACCAAAGGCAGCAAAGGAGAATCCCCTTGTTCTGGTCACTATGGGCTCAGATTCCGATCTTCCAGTGCTCAAGGCTGGTATTGACATTCTAAACCAGTTTGGCGTCCCGTGGGAGGTTGATATTACCTCGGCACACAGAACGCCTGACAAGATGGCACAGGTTGCCACGGATGCGGCAAGTCGTGGTATCAAGGTCATCATTGCAGCTGCTGGAGGCGCAGCTCATTTGCCAGGCATGTTGGCTGCATACACACCTCTGCCCGTCATTGGCGTGCCGGTCAAGGCGACACACCTGGATGGATTGGACTCCCTTCTCAGCATTGTCCAAATGCCGGTATGTAGACATTTTGGCCCCTCATCATCCTCTCGGATGCATGTAGAGACCACAGAATGGTTGCTGACACTGGACAGCGCGGCGTGCCCACTGCCACCGTTGCAATCAACAATTCTACCAATGCTGCCTTGCTCGCCATCCGATTCCTCGGCGCCTTTATACCTCCCTTGCTGGAGAAGATGCAGAAGTACCAGCTGGAAATGGAGCATCAGGTCAAGGACAAGGCCACGACGTTGAGGGATCTTGATGTGGATGCATATCTGGCCAAGATGGGCCAGAAATAGGGGCCCGTACATCATGTAGCGAATTGGGTTTTCCACATTCCGAGGCACGCGGGTGGCGTTTTTTTGCATTTTATAGACCTGGTCAAAGAGAGGACTCCAAGTATTGGTACAGTACAAACCCCAGAAGGTGTGCCGTGTGGCAAATAGACAGGCGCGCGGCCCAACTGACGGGGTGAAGGAGAGTGTGGCGATGGACAGGGATCATGATTGCAACTGCAGCCAGCAGTTTCGTGGCTGACGTTTGTTTGTGGCCGGAGTGTTGTGTGTTGTCAGTCGTCACACATCCTTGCCGAGAGCGACACACCGAGCGGCGAGGAGATGTGGCGGGGGCTCTGTTGTCACTGGATGTCGCTCATTGGCAAGGGTTATGTGATAAATAATAGGAGGAACATGGGCTTTGGGAGGGAGGGGAGCGGAGGGAGCTCGGCTCAACACAGGCGAGGCGAGGCCGAGCGTCTCGGTCATCCGTGACGGCTGATCCGCTCATGATGCATGACCTGAGCTCTCGCCGACTGACGACCAAGGTGACTGAACGTATGATTCTGAAGCACGCTGCGCGACCAACGGCCGTGTCTGATTGCGAGTCCACGCTTGCCAGCCATTCGAGAGAAGCTCGCTCTTTTGTCTGTTCTCCTTGTTAACCATGGCGTTGCCGAGGGGCCTCCCCAGGGATGAAGAATTCAACCCACCATACTCCGTACATACGTTCTTGAGTCTTGACAGCCGGGAACCCAGAGCAGAGCCTCCCCGGCCTCATCCTAGCGTCGACGTCACCGAAGCACATCGAGCCTCTCGGAAACACCCGGCTTTCTGCCACGGCTGCGCCCACGAGGCACAAGACATACATACGTAATACATGTCCAGTTGGGGCGGGGCGAGGAGGAGAACTCCACGGGGCGTTTCGCCGCAGTATGTGTCTTGGAGATGACATTGAATACCAGGCCGACAACTCTCGTGAACCGTCGAGTATCAATTGGGCCCTTGACTCCGCATTGGCTTTGGCACAACCTCGTCGTGACAAGTTATTTAACAATATGAAAGCGAAGTACCTGGTCGAGTCGGCGGCGCCAATTGGTAATCTCTTGACTCCGTACCGAGTAACAAAGCCATGTGCTTAGTCTTTGCTTTTTTATTTGCCATTCGTGTCCCCTTTCGGTGGGCCTGGAAGCACATGCGATGGTAAACATGCCAGCAGAAGCAAGCGCTTTCCTCGGAGCTTGGTCCGTCTGGCTGAGAAACGACTCCCACACCACTCATCGCAGTCCCCCCCTCCACAGCGTACTTGACCCTGTCGTTGCATCATCCTGTCTCGTCAGGAGACCCGAGCTTTCCTTCTTGCGTGTAATTTTTCCGCCCCAGTTGGAGAGAGATCCGAGTCGATCAGTCAAGGTGCTGTTGGCTAGCCCAGACCACACGTGATGGATCTGGGGAGCAGTCAGCTGCAGGGCCAGAGTGTGAGGGCTAACCAGTATCGTTGTTAAGCCGTACATCGGCATCACTGCCCAGGTGCCGCCGTGACAGCCTGTGTACTTGATTGATCCACAATCTTATAGCCTTGTATTTGTGCTGATGGACAAGCTAGGTTGAGCTCGTGAAAACGATGTCCAGCTGTTTGAAGCTGGACGTTTGCTGATAATCTCACGAAGAATCAAAAGGTCAAGGGTAGGCACCCAGGCCGGGAGGACTCCTTGGGCCTCGGGGATGTACCATCGGCCAGCTTGAGCCACGTCATGTTGTCGCAGTGCATGCTTCGGGCTGAGGCCGTTTGCAAGCAGCGCCAAGTTATGTTTGAAATACGTGTAAACCCGATTTTCCACCAAGCGGTCCATGAGGGACACACGCGCCCAGTAATGGTTTTTGGGCGCTTATTCTTGAACAAGGCCCGGATCAGCAGCGAAGTGTTACAATCCAACTGGAATCCCCAAGGGTGGCTGGATTGAAGCCAGACAAGTGATAGAGGTAAGACATCTTCTCTGGCTACTCCGTCCTGCTGCCGCCAAGCCCACCTGTTGACCTCCTTGCCACGCCAGTGGTCCTCCTCACGGGATATCATGAAGATTTTGCGCCACTTGGATTTAGACGCTTGGCCTCGCGACATCTTGGACGACACGCCTTGGATACTATATTTGCTGATGCTAAGACGACCTTGAACGCAATGTTCAGCAGGGACATATTGCTCCACGCAAACAATCGGTGGGTGTCTGAAGCTTACGTTAGATGTGGTCACCGCCTGGAATGGAAGCACCAAAGTGATTTCTGGAAACACTTCGTACAACCTTAGACGCGGCGCCCGGGATGGAATCGCGCCCGCTTGCGCCCACTTCAGCCGCTATGCTGGTGTTTCGGCCTCGTGTCAAGCTGCCAGGGATGTCAGTGGTGACCGCAGAGCGTGTACGGAGTAGTAAACAGTAGTAGTTAGTAGTAGTAGTATAGTAGTAGTTTCTGGTGTACGGAGTATGCACGTACTGCCCAGGAGGCCACTTGGCCAGGTGGTCAACGTGGCAGAGAGCTGACACGGACAAAAAGAAAAACTAGCCAAGTACCTGCGCCAACAAAGCATTTCCTCCCCAACTTCGTCCTGCTTGAGACAACCGTTCCAACGTAGTAGGTAAGTTAATTAGTACTTAGTTGTTGACTGATGCATACTATCAGTACGGAGTACAAACTCTCCAAAGGTATTGCACAACAGAACCGTACTCTGGAGAGTTGTCTCCTCTATAGCCGACATTGTATTCTCTGCTCACGATCACGATGAATATGACAGAGATTTTTGGAAACCAGGCGACGAAGCATAGGCGTTGTATGACCTTGATACTCGGCAACCCGATCGATCTGGGGCATTGCACCGAGCATGCTGTCGTCATTGTCTATTCCTGGGAGGGACAAAAATAGGGCCGGCCGATTGCCGTCAATTGGAATGATTGATGAGGGCTTTCATCAATTTCGGAACAATTAATCATACGACGTGCGGAATTTCCATGGATTCCGACAAGGGACTGACTCTAAGTTGACGATATTAATTTTTATTGGCTTGAGGAGGGGACCTCTCGGCAGGCAGTAATGACTCGCTCCCACACTGGATCGGACCTGGGTCCTGGTGGCAAGGAACCATACGGAGTAGTGTGAGGAGGTATCCAATCCTGGCCAACTTTTAGCTGCATATTTTATCTCGCAGTGAGCACGTCAGAACTACCATGCCAAGGTAAACAGTATCCGGTCTCCAGAGAGCCACGTCCTGCAGAAAGCCTGGGCCAGCGAGGCATCCCCGCTAGATTACCTGCTGCAACGGCAGTAGTGGACTGTTCTTCAGTATGCTTTACGGCCCAGGGCTACCCCCTGTCCACAAGCCGGCGAGCGAGATGGCTGTGGGAAGCGTATCACGGTTGATCCCATGGCTAACGTTTGCTAATTTGGTAACACTGACCAGGCAGTCCACTTGCAACCAATCGTAGACCGACTGTTGTGGCCATGAAGCTGTGTGTTGAGGAATCTCGGGCTGCCGTCATGCTTGGACGTCGAAGAACTGATTGAGATACTCTGCGCCCTGTTTAATCATAGTACATGATCTTCTGCCATTGGCCGTTTCCAGGTCCAGAATCCTGACGTTGCCGGACAATCCGCATCACTAGCTGCTCAATATCGATATCCAATTTGGACGTGGACGAGTTTTCGCAATGGTACGCAGAAAAATAAGCCCTAATTATTTTGTTTTCTTTTCGAGGTGTGTTCGTGTCTGGGTGCCCCCCAATCTGTGACGACGTGGTAAGACTATTTACGGCAGCATCCACTCAGTACTCACATATCATATTTGCCAGGCCCCAACAGTACTAGTGCGTAGTTATGTCCTCCGTACATGTGTCCTGATGTTAGCCCCGGATGCTTTAACCGACCGTGGCGGAGAAGTGTGGCCGCCTGTGCATGTGTTCTCTTTGTCGCAGGGATTCTGGGCCTAATGCCCTTGCCAAAAGGTTTCCGGCGGGCTGGTGGGCAACCGAGAACCTGGCACACCACAACAGCCGAGTGAGTGAGTTGTGCATTGTACTACGAGACCCATGCATGGCGACTCAAACTCCGTCCCACCGTACGGAGTACGGAGGGAGGCTGTCCAAGACTAGGTTTCGGCTCATGCCATGGGGTCTCCCGCACCTGGCTGGAAAGCGGAGCCCAGCCAGAAGGGTTGGTTCGTTCGCATCGACAACGTGCGGATAATGCTAGTAATATGGGTAATGGGTAACGTTATTTGAGCATTGTTGGGAGCAATGACTTGCAGCTATTAGTCAGACCCGCTGATGAGTTGAGGGGTCCGTAATGAATGACGGTGTGGAGATGTGTCGAACATGAAGCGCTTTCTGCTGAACCGGTGCTGAGAAATTGCCGAGCATGAACGGCGAAGGGCGATAACCGACTTGTGAAGATCAGCGCGACTCGATGTTGGGTGTGGCAAACAAGGAAATGAACCATCGGAATTTGCGGTGCTGGAGCCTTACGAGGTCCCGAAAAATCAGGGGGCAAGAGACCTAGCAACTTGCAACCGTTCAATTGACTAAGTTACCATCTTGCAAGCAATGTAGCGAGTGCAAGCCCGAGATGATGGAGGAATTGCCGGCACGTGCTGCCAGCCTGCCGCAGATGGCGAGGAAATGACGATGCTACAGGGAGTATGATGAGAAGTGAAGAAGTGCTTGAGCATGTGTGATCGGCGTGAACCCTACCAAGGTGGTTGTACTCTGTACATCAGGTTTCGAATGAACGGGTCCGTTGCGCGTCCAGCACTTGGTTTGAGGGTGATTGCACTTGTCACCGAAGACGGCGGAAATGCTCGGCCGGCTTGTCGGCAAGCAGTGGACGGTGTCAGGGTGAAGTCGGCTCTGATAGCATGGCAGTATGGCATGCACTCAAGTCCCGAGGGGACTCGAGCATGTCTAGCCTGAACGTCGCGCCACTTGGCTGTTGGTGGTTGAAGCTTGACAGTCGCAAGTTATGGAAGAAAGAGCCAAAGC